CTATTTTCCAAAAAAATATTGATTTTATATCTATATTAGCATTTTTTATCATCTATAATACCTAGATATGTTTTAAAATACAATTTTAAGCATTTTTGGTTTCGATCATAGTAGGATATTTTCAAAAAAATATCGATTTTATATCTATATTAGCATTTTTTATCATCTATAATACCTAGATATGTTTTAAAATGCAATTTAAAGCATTTTTGGTTTCGATCATAGTAGGCTATTTTCAAAAATATATCGATTATCTACATTAGCATTTTTTATCATTTATAATACCTAGATATGTTTTAAAATGCAATTTAAAGCATTTTTGGTTTCGATCATAGTAGGCTATTTTCAAAAAAATATCGATTTTATTTCTACATTAGCATTCTTTATCATTTATAATACCTAGATATGATTTAAAATGCAATTTAAAGCATTTTTGGTTTTGATAATAGTAGGCTATTTTCCAAAAAATATCGATTTTATATCTATATTAGCATTTTTTATCATCTATAATACCTAGATATGTTTTAAAATGCAATTTAAAGCATTTTTGGTTTTGATCATAGTAGGCTATTTTCCAAAAAATATCGATTTTATATCTATATTAGCATTTTTTATCATTTATAATACCTAGATATGTTTTAAATTACAATTTTAAGCATTTTTGGTTTCGATCATAGTAGGCTATTTTCAAAAAAATATCGATTTTATATCTACATTAGCATTCTTTATCATTTATAATACCTAGATATGATTTAAAATGCAATTTAAAGCATTTTTGGTTTTGATAATAGGAGGCTATTTTCCAAAAAATATCGATTTTATATCTATATTAGCATTTTTTATCATCTATAATACCTAGATATGTTTTAAAATACAATTTTAAGCATTTTTGGTTTCGATCATAGTAGGCTATTTTCAAAAAAATATCGATTTTATTTCTACATTAGCATTCTTTATCATTTATAATACCTAGATATGATTTAAAATGCAATTTAAAGCATTTTTGGTTTTGATAATAGGAGGCTATTTTCCAAAAAATATCGATTTTATATCTATATTAGCATTTTTTATCATCTATAATACCTAGATATGTTTTAAAATACAATTTTAAGCATTTTTGGTTTCGATCATAGTAGGCTATTTTCAAAAAAATATCGATTTTATATCTATATTAGCATTTTTTATCATCTATAATACCTAGATATGTTTTAAAATGCAATTTAAAGCATTTTTGGTTTCGATCATAGTAGGCTATTTTCCAAAAAATATCGATTTTATATCTATATTAGCATTTTTTATCATCTATAATACCTAGATATGTTTTAAAATGCAATTTAAAGCATTTTTGGTTTCGATCATAGTAGGCTATTTTCAAAAAAATATCGATTCTATATCTACATTAGCATTCTTTATCATTTATAATACCTAGATATGTTTTAAAATACAATTTTAAGCATTTTTGGTTTCGATCATAAGTAGTAGGCTATTTTCAAAAAAATATCGATTTTATATCTATATTAGCATTTTTTATCATTTATAATACCTAGATATGTTTTAAAATGCAATTTAAAGCATTTTTGGTTTCGATCATAGTAGGCTATTTTCCAAAAAATATCGATTTTATATCTATATTAGCATTTTTTATCATCTATAATACCTAGATATGTTTTAAAATGCAATTTAAAGCATTTTTGGTTTCGATCATAGTAGGCTATTTTCAAAAAAATATCGATTTTATATCTACATTAGCATTTTTTATCATTTATAATACCTAGATATGATTTAAAATGCAATTTAAAGCATTTTTGGTTTTGATAATAGGAGGCTATTTTCCAAAAAATATCGATTTTATATCTACATTAGCATTTTTTATCATTTATAATACCTAGATATGTTTTAAAATGCAATTTAAAGCATTTTTGGTTTCGATCATAGTAGGCTATTTTCAAAAAAATATCGATTTTATATCTATATTAGCATTTTTTATCATCTATAATACCTAGATATGTTTTAAAATACAATTTTAAGCATTTTTGGTTTCGATCATAGTAGGCTATTTTCAAAAAAATATCGATTTTATATCTATATTAGCATTTTTTATCATCTATAATACCTAGATATGATTTAAAATGCAATTTAAAGCATTTTTGGTTTCGATCATAGTAGGCTATTTTCCAAAAAATATCGATTTTATATCTATATTAGCATTTTTTATCATCTATAATACCTAGATATGTTTTAAATGCAATTTAAAGCATTTTTGGTTTCGATCATAGTAGGCTATTTTCAAAAAAATATCGATTTTATATCTATATTAGCATTTTTTATCATCTATAATACCTAGATATGTTTTAAAATGCAATTTAAAGCATTTTTGGTTTCGATCATAGTAGGCTATTTTCCAAAAAATATCGATTTTATATCTATATTAGCATTTTTTATCATTTATAATACCTAGATATGTTTTAAAATACAATTTAAAGCATTTTTGGTTTCGATCATAGTAGGCTATTTTCAAAAAAATATCGATTTTATATCTACATTAGCATTTTTGATCATTTATAATACCTAGATATGTTTTAAAATGCAATTTTAAGCATTTTTGGTTTCGATCATAGTAGGCTATTTTCAAAAAACTATCGATTTTATATCTACATTAGCATTTTTGATCATTTATAATACCTAGATATGTTTTAAAATGCAATTTAAAGCATTTTTGGTTTCGATCATAGTAGGCTATTTTCAAAAAAATATCGATTTTATATCTACATTAGCATTTTTGATCATTTATAATACCTAGATATGTTTTAAAATGCAATTTAAAGCATTTTTGGTTTCGATCATAGTAGGCTATTTTCCAAAAAATATCGATTTTATATCTATATTAGCATTTTTTATCATTTATAATACCTAGATATGTTTTAAATTACAATTTTAAGCATTTTTGGTTTCGATCATAGTAGGCTATTTTCAAAAAAATATCGATTTTATATCTATATTAGCATTTTTTATCATTTATAATACCTAGATATGTTTTAAAATACAATTTTAAGCATTTTTGGTTTCGATCACAGTAGGCTATTTTCAAAAAACTATCGATTTTATATCTACATTAGCATTTTTGATCATTTATAATACCTAGATATGTTTTAAAATGCAATTTTAAGCATTTTTGGTTTTGATCATAGTAGGCTATTTTCAAAAAAATATCGATTTTATATCTACATTAGCATTTTTTATCATTTATAATACCTAGATATGTTTTAAAATACAATTTAAAGCATTTTTGGTTTCGATCATAGTAGGCTATTTTCAAAAAAATATCGATTTTATATCTACATTAGCATTTTTTATCATTTATAATACCTAGATATGTTTTAAAATACAATTTAAAGCATTTTTGGTTTCGATCATAGTAGGCTATTTTCAAAAAAATATCGATTTTATATCTACATTAGCATTTTTCATCATTTATAATACCTAGATATGTTTTAAAATGCAATTTTAAGCATTTTTGGTTTTGATCATAGTAGGCTATTTTCAAAAAAATATCGATTTTATATCTACATTAGCATTTTTTATCATTTATAATACCTAGATATGTTTTAAAATACAATTTAAAGCATTTTTGGTTTCGATCATAGTAGGCTATTTTCAAAAAAATATCGATTTTATATCTACATTAGCATTTTTGATCATTTATAATACCTAGATATGTTTTAAAATGCAATTTTAAGCATTTTTGGTTTTGATCATAGTAGGCTATTTTCAAAAAAATATCCGACCTGTTTCACTAAAGTGGATTATCCTCGATTTCGGATTTTCCACTTAAGTTTTTTGTAAATATCTTACACTTTATGGGAGGTGTGGTATTTCTAATTTTGGATTATAATAGAGTGAACTATGCCTGAAATTTCTGTGTACTTTAAACTTTTACTTTTTGTTAAGAACTATTAATTATTCAATTTTCTAGCCAAATCTAGTAGATTAACTTAGATTTTTGCTTTAATTCTCAAACTAATGAAAATATAAAAATTCTAAGTATATGTTAATTTAAGTAGCAAAGTACTCTAAGTAGATCACACGTTAGATCTCTTAAAAACCCTAATCGTCTGGAGATATTTCCAAAAAACTGAAGTGGATAATCAGAAATCGAGGATAATCCAATTTAGTGAAACAGGCGGATCGATTTTATATCTACATTAGCATTTTTGATCATTTATAATACCTAGATATGTTTTAAAATGCAATTTTAAGCATTTTTGGTTTTGATCATAGTAGGCTATTTTCAAAAAAATATCGATTTTATATCTATTTTTGCATTCTTTATCATTTATAATACCTTGATATGTTTTAAAATGCAATTTAAAGCATTTTTGGTTTTGATCATAGTAGGGTTTTTTCAAAAAAAAATACTTTAAAAAAACCTTTTTTTAAAAAACACGCTTTTATTTCCGATTACAGTGCACTAAAAAGGAGAAAATAATGTTTTCCTGAAAACTCAAATTTGATACAAAATTTTATGACAAAAAATAAAAGCATGGGGCGCTCTTGCATATTTCACTAAATCTTGAATTTGTGACAATTAAAAATTATTCATATATGTTAAACATTAGGTTTATGAATATATTATAAAAGATCTAGAGATTTTTTAAGTTGAACGCCCCACGCTTTTATTTTATGTTACTATTCAAGTAAATTTTGGGCGTTTTCGTTCAAATAATTTTTGACCGTTATTTTTCAAATGTTTTAAGTTTTTGAATTTTAATTTCTACTCGAATTCTGTGCGGGGAAAATGCGCTTCGGTCGATCACGTGTGATCACGTTTTTACTAGTTTAATGTCCTTAGTGTACACGTATAAATATAATTTAATTATTGAAAGAAACTTAAATCATTTAAAAAAAATATCTGCTCTTTACCTTTTTTTCTGCCACAGAAACTCGTGATATTTTGATTGACTTGTCCTGAAACTTTTATAAAAATTAATTATAATGTTCACATTTTTTCAAATTGTTTATTATCATATCTATTAAGCATTAAAAATCATTTGCAACATAAGTAAGATTTATTTGAACTAAAGACCTCTAAAGACATTTTCTTTCCTAAATAAGTCACGTCACAAAACATTTTTTGTGACTTTATAAATAGCCGAGAAATTAGAAAAATGAAAAAAAAATATCACAAAAAATTATTTCTTAATTTTTAAAGGCAACAAAGATTACTTGATGATCCATAAATATAATCTAAGTTTAGATAAGGTTGTAAAAGGAACTGACATCATCAATTTCAAACCTAAAAGTCACTAAAGTCTAAATTGAACATAGTTTTGTGTTTCACTGGAACATTAAGTGAATAATAACTATCGAATGGACATTAAATGCTTAATTGAAGATATCCTTGCATGCCCAAAATGCAGCTTTTGATTAAAAATGACAAAATGAAAGCATTAGGATGAGTTAAAAAGCTTTGCTTATTTTTAAAGGCTAGCCTGACTTGAAAAAGACACTCTTTGCAAAATAACATTTTTTAACATCCTTAATCCTTTATATAGCTTTTGTATTGAGTGAGCATTTTCGTGCACTTTAAGTGACTGGCTAGATTTTCTCGATAGAGAGCAATCAAGCAAAGCATTAAGTTTTAATTAAAAATATCCTTGCAGGTCATTTAACATCTCGTATATGTGAACTAAGCTCAAAAATTAATTTATACCGATTGATAATCGTTGCAAAAATGCGAATTAATCATTGCTCATGTCTAATGCTTGACATTAAATTTGATAAAATTCCATAAAGCATCCTATATGAATATATTATTGATAGATATCTCAATTATGTCAATTTTTAAATCTAATTCCTGGTAAACTTTATCATTTATGTTAAGTTAAGATCTAAAGCTTATTCTCATATCCTCAAATCTCAGGAATCGTTGCCAATGGCTTCGATTGAATTTCTTTAAGTGATGTATTTGTAGGCGTTGAATTGCCAGATATATCAAAATCATCAACATCAGTAACTGGTTCACGCCAAAAGTTAAATGCTGTATATTCAATGTCATCATCGTCATCCGTAAATTTAATTGGTGGAAACAGTTGATCAACAATGTATGTCATTGAGCAGTAACTAAAATGAAAAAAGAAGTAGAATCAACAATTAGTTATTGATTATTAATTTATTTTACAAAGCACACATCAAAACAGCAATAAAGTTATGCAAAGAAAAGCAAAATCAAGGAAAAAGAAACGAACAAACAAGCCCCCATGACGTAAAACTATATGATCGACTAAAATGCGTAGTTTTAAAATAAGCAAGTTGAAGAAAAAATGTTCAAGGTCAAATTACCGGCGAGAGAATTAGGGATAAGCACTATGTGTAGAATCAGCGAAAAGTTATCGACGAAAGAATTAGAAATTTATAGAGGATCGTTCACAAATGATGTCGAGTATTTTTTGGGAAGTTTCATGTCATGTAGGACACGCCATAATCGTCATTTGTGAACGACTCTTACGCATACTCTGAACAACAAAAGTAGACGGACCTTGGACGAATTTAGAGAGAATCAGAGCATTGGCTTAATCCACAAAGTATATCAAGTCAAAAAACATGTAAACAGGACGTAGAACATAAAAGCACGAGAAACGAAAGAATAATAATTAGCTGGAATAACAAAAAAAATTATAATGTCATGAACAACTTTATTGCTTTGTGTTTATTTTTTGTTCCTTAAAAATAATAATTAGCTATCTGTGCATTCTTAATGCATCGCAGAATTAAATATAATAAAATAAATTATTCACATAAATGAATCATAACGACTTTTAAGCACTTCGATTGTCATTAGTTATACATTCGTAAAAGTATTTTTTGTCATTTATCCTTTCCTTAATATCCTCTATTTATCATCAAAAAGGGACAAATTTAGTCTAAATTTCCTATTAATAATATATTTATAGAGAGATCACATGTTTTACTTAATATAAGTAGCTTAACTGCATTAATTATTCTATTCTTTGTAAAAAAAAAATTCTTTTTGTCTGTAATCAGGGTTTTTGGTATTTGGTATTTCAATCTGAGGATGTTCCTTCCTCCATTTCGTGACGTGAAATGACATTTTTATGGCAACTCGACCATAAAATCATTAAAATTTTTGTCATGATCAAGACACAGCAATTTTATGCTGATTGCTTTTCTCAAAGTTCAATATCACCAAACTGTAAATCATCACCATCATCTTCTGTGAAGCATGAGTCATCATCTTCATTTTTAGTATCCATGCAACTGATTTTAATCAATATTGTGTGTTCATCAGGCATTGCGGACGCCTTTGGAAGGCTTGGGAAAATGTCATGAACTGTCGATGACTGTTGCTCATAACTGATTATAAATAAGTTGTTTTTTATCGATCGAAAACAAAAGCAAGTGACATAAAATAATAGTATTAAGACAAATAAAAATTTTAAAGTCACGCGTACATCATGACGAATGTTGAAATATTCAAAAATAAACGAAAAGAAAAAAAGAAAGAAAAAATTATAACGATAAGCAGTCATCATATTAATAATATGCTTCATGAGAAGTAGGTTTGGGGAAATTTGCGACTTAAAGGCTGACTGAGAAGGAACGATATGAATGATAGCGAAATTAAGTGACGAAAAATATGAAACTGACACCTTCCAAATACTCATAAAAATTTGACAACATCCATTATCACACACATTTTACAGATATATAGGCGTGTGATTTAGCGGTTCCATACATCTCAAACACGATACACGATTTTAATATTAATCGCTTAATCGTGTAGAATGTGGCGCCTTGAGATTCATTCATTAACAACAGTTTTCCTTTCCTGATCCCCCCGATAATTAAACCTCACAAGCTAATGACCCGAAAATATTTTTTTTTGGAACCAAATCATCTCATACATTCAAAAACATACATCCAGGCTAATCTCGGGAGTGAATAAAAAATGCAAATGACAAAAACAGAAAGTCAATAATAAGAAGAATACTTACGATGATTGGAATGTTTGCGTCAATTCGTGTTTGAGTTCGCCACGTGGATTTATTGTGTAAATTCTCATAATTGGAATTCCAACAGCACGATAAGCCCAAACATCCTATAAGAATAAAGAAAAGAAAAAGAAAAGCAATTAGTTTCAGTTAATTTGGACACACAAAAAATATCAACATACATTTATACGATTTCCGTAGCCAGCGTAGAATGGATTCTTATCACCAAATAAACTTTTGATATCACTCAAGCACTCAATTTTGAACTGCTCTGGTTTGCGTTCAATGACTTCACGATGAAATGCGGAAATAAGAGATGTTGGATTGAGAAGAAGAGGGCCATCAGGCAATTTAACGTCTCCTTGACGAATCGACCTTAAGTATTCTCGTGTAGCACGAGATTGACCTATGGCACGAGCTGATAAATAAAGCATCTTGTAGCCATTCTCTTCGATCTTTGAGAACAATTGAGCAACTCCAATTTGTGCCCAGTCTTTACCAACCTAGATTGCAAAAAAAAATTATAGTTAGATTTATTCATAAAAGCAGTCAAAAAAGTGCTGTTGTTTCTTACCATTGGCAAGATGTGTCCTAAAACATCACTTTTAGTAATTGTTCCATCAATATCAGAAATAACAACTTTATCACTATGTTTCCATTTAAAGAGGTAGCATTTACATCTTGAAGTTCCTTGATAGGCAGTCGTGACACTAAATTCAACTTCATTGACGCCATTCTTCAAGTTCAGACATTCAATTTGTTGTGAACTAAGACGAAGTGTTTTCCTGAATTTTTCTGTAGCTAAAGTCATTTGGCCTTTGATTGTAAGCTCATTTTCATTGCTCTCAGATAATGGCACATAATCAGCCTCCTTAATAGAATTGATGGTTTCCTGTGAGATTGTTGATGCCGAAGTTGGAATTGGCATTGTTTCTGTTTCTTCCTTTACAGGTGATTTCTTCTGTTCTTGAACAGATCCAGCACCAGAACGACGCCATGAAAACCAGCTACGACGATTACCTGGTTCTGTCTGCTGTTGCTGCTCATCCTTTGTTGGAGTTTCATCCTTTTCTGGCGTTTTGCTTGGTGGCAATAGCTTGTCACAAACTTCTTGTGGTAATGGCTTTTGATAAGCTAATAATGTCATGACATAAGGACAGGCTGTAGCCCAACTATAATATTTGCTATTAATTCGAACAACAAGATTTGGCGATGCAAAAAGTGCTGGATTGTGACAAATATCAGAATATTGAACAATGTTGCTTTCAAATTCATCTTCAGATGGACCGCCTTTTTCCATTCCACCGCACAATGATAAAGCAACAAAGTTTAATGATGAATCTGGATTGCCAGCTGACTTGTTACATTCATAATCAGAATCTGATTTAATCAATTCCATGCTAGTCGAATTGCTATGTGGTAAACTTGTTCCATTTCCACTTTCACGATCTTCTTCTGGTCCACGCTGAATATCACCATTTGGTTTTCCATTAGTAGGTGGGAAATATAGTGCAGCTACTTCTGGATCCATTCCTTCGGCATCAAGTTCTGATAAATATAAACCATCTTGTTGATTCGTCTTACGTTTATGTTTCATAAAGCTCAACATTCCACTCAACATTGAATTTCTCTTATTTGTGTCCGAGACATTTTGATCAACAACAATATCCTCAGTTTGAACAATTGGATCTCCCCATTTCCAGCTTGCAGAATTTGTCATGATATTATCACTCTTTTCACGCTGTGATACTTCAAATTCTGTATCACTTTGAATTGGTGATGCTGGACGTGATGGATGTTGACTGGTTGTTCCTAATTCTCCGTCGCTAAAGAAATGAATGTCTGACAAAAGCTCACGATGGCTATCAAGTTGTAATGCAAATTCTGATTTGCTTCTTTGGCCATCATCTTTCAACATTGGTGTTGATTCCTCGTCTCTTGGTAACTCTTTTGTTATGTCATTCTCAGTATTTGGTGATGTATCATTTGATAAGCTAATTATTGAAATATTATTATCCGTTCCTTCATATTCCACTTGATCAGAATTACTACCTGCTGAGCTACTTGTACTACCCTTTCTTTGTGAATTTTTCTTCTTTATCATTGACTTCTTTCTTCTCTTTTTCTTTGACTGTTGTGATGCTGCTGATTTATTATCATCCTTGACTAGACCTTTATCTTCAGACTTTTCTTTGAATGCATCACTCTTTATTGCGAGATCAATTTCTAGCGAATCTTTATTATTATTATTATTATCACTATCATCTTTTGTATCTTCATTAATTGGACAAAATTGATGACTTTCGTCCATTTGACGTAAATTGAATTTCTCCTTTATCTCATCATATAACTGATCTTGTTCTTCTGAAAATTCTTGACGCAACTTTTGTGTAGTAAATTCTAATTTATTTGTCGTTAAATCACGCCTTTCGAGATCATTATCGGTATGACGACGCTGTGAAAAGTCTGATGCTTGATTCTCAAACTTGCTTGAACTACGATCATTCTCTGAAATATCTTTTGATACATCCACTGAATTACGGCGTGGGAGTGGAATTTTTATGTCATCATGTGTTGCACTATATATCAAAAAGAAAGTTTCAATTAGTTATGGATAATTTAAATGTTTTAAAAATAGAATTACTCACTTTAAACTATTTTCGAAGCTTGTCAACTCATTTGTGGGTATTGGTGATGTTGCTAAATTCGGTAACTCATCTAAATCACCTTCTGAACATTCTTCTACAAAAAATGCTTCACCTGATTCTCCTAATTTCATATGAATATCTACTGCCTCGCCATTTATCTCAATATCAACCTAGATATACGAAAATATAAAAATTAATCAACTTGTCAGTTCCGATTTGTGTCAACAACTTACGATTTTTTCTCTGCTCCTCAAAACACCAAGCTTTCCGAAGCGCACATGAAATGGCGAGCATAAATACGTTCCATCTTGTTGTTCTACAACAATTACATCTATAGCTCCAGTCAATGTCGCTGCATTTATTTCATTATAGAATTCCTTAAAATCACGAAATACTTTATTTGCAATGCTCAGCATATTTTCTGCTTTTGTTATCTTCTACGATACTTGTCAAATAATCCTTTATTATCACACTTTCTTGGAATATTATAAATGTCTTATGTTTATCAAGCAACTAGCTTTAAAATTCACTTCCTGCAATTAAAGAAAAGAGAAAATTAGCTGAAAAATCTTTCTATTTTTATCAAAAAAAAAAAAAAAAAAATAAGAAAAACAAATTCTTCTTAATAATGTTTTTGCGACTTTGGCAAGCACTAACTTGCTAGATGAGTCAGACAAGCCCGAATTGTTTACTACTTTATGTTTCTTGTTTATAGTCGAATTCCCAAAATTGCTTGCCAAAATAAACTAAACCAATTAATTTGTTTGTGAGGAAACATATTAAAAATTCATACATGCTGAAAGTAGCTTTCGCATTAACTTTTTCAGAAATTCCAATCGACTGAACACAAAAAGTGACAATTTGAGAATTGAGATCATGTGAAAAATGTATTGAACGAATGTTTCAACGATAAACAGAAACCATTAAAATTGAGGAATTTATATTTAGGTTAATATAAACACAAATTGCTCAAAAAAAAAAAATTCTAGACTAATGGAAATTTTTTGTGCCTTAAAATAATCATTAGGAACGACTGTATAAATAGTAAATAAAACTGCATAAATATTTCGTAACTATAGCAATAATCGCGTGATAAACGAATGTTTTTATTTCATCTGACTGATGTGACAATAATAATAAACTGATAAGGCAATGAACATGAAAACGTGACTATAAAGAACAATAACGAAGCTCCTCATAAGTTCTTATCAATTTCGTGCCTTTTCCAGTCTCTTTGGGTCGTGTAAATGTGGTGCGATCATTCATAATATTTCGGTCAATAGAAACATATGATTTTCACAAATACAACAGTCTGTCGTTCCTACACATAGCTCAAGCCTACATATACAACAAAGTTTCATTTTCTTTCTCACTCAAGTCAGCTTATGCAGTACTCAACACGATCATGACGTCATTATATCGTACGTTATTTTCTCTACCTCGATCATACGACTGTTATGACTGACTTTGAATGAAATTATTGTGCAAATATCTACACACATACCACAACATTAATTAGATATGCTGAATGGCATGGAAAATATGATGATGATGATTGTTATTATTATGAAACTCATTCAATTGTAACGTAAAGAATGCTAAGTGAAATTTCATTTTTTTCTGCACGTTGCTTCAGTAAATTTGCAAAACAGAAGGGAAATCGTTCGTTTCTTTACAAAAATAATAACAAACGTGTCTGGTTACAATAATTCTGAAACTTCCTTATTTAGATATTCAAAAATAAGTTGCACCTTGCACTTATAAATTTATGACACAGCTTGACATTATTTTAACAGTTGTTTGTAAGTCAGTCTTTGTCTTCTTTAATTATATCATTATTGTCTTAATGTCAGCAATTGTAATATGTGTATTAATTAGTGTAAGGCACTGAACTTTTTTGTATCGCATTGAAGCTTAATGGTCGAAGATTTTCATCAGGTGATGTTTATGTTCTGCGTGTAAAGGTAAAGGTGGGGATTGGCATTTGTGGCTGTATTAATCATATTTCAAGGAAATAATACCTAGCCTGAATGGCATAAATTAGACTAGAAAATTGTGATACTTCTGTTGACTAAGGTGTTTACTAGAAGTGATATTTGAAAGCTTTAGACTCCCTTATTATTAATATAGTTAATCTACAAGTTCTACGTTTAGTTTTACATTCAAATTAATTGTAATAATCAGCCTTTGACCTAGCTACACGCTATATTTGTTTGAAATTATCAATCAAGTAAACAACTGAATATAAATATTAAGGAAATGAATTTAAATAGCTAATTTATCATAATTTCGCCTACACAAAGAAAATAAACACGTGTGATGACACGATAGAGGCTAGATCTTTACCGAGTGGCTTTACAAAAATCAATTAAAACGCTTTTTTAACGTAAAGAGCCAAGAAAAAAAGTGCAAGTGCAAAGTTGTTTCTCATTTATTCAAGGTTGGCAATTTTTCAGCTTTTAAAAATTGTTTTTCTGGCTGTTCACAGGGAAGTGCGGCAGAAAGAGATGGAATGTGTTTATTTGATATATAATTAAAGACTCAAATTTCTTCAAATGATTTATAATTAGCTAACGTAATGACTGCTCTATTAAGATCAGATGTTAATTTTCCATTAGATTAAAAAGATCAAAAGAGAAGGAACTTGATACTAGCTTTATGATCTGACGTTATTCTTGATTGCTTGATGAATTAAAGTCGAGAGAAATCTGTGTTCTTGTTAGCCTTATTAAAATGAATTTTAATTAAATAATTGTTAATCCACAGCTGTCATTCAATATCCCTAAATGGAAGTAATTTAATATGCACGTTCAGCATGTCAATAGTGAAAAGTATTATCAGTAATTTGATAAATTATGTGGATAAAAATAAAAATAAATTGGAAAATTTCAAAGCTCAAAGGATTACTCTATCGTCACCTGGTTAGACGTCACGTCTCCCAAATATAAAACCTTTGTTCCTACTATCTAATCTTATCATCATACATTGGAAATTTTACGGTATATTTCTGTAGATGTCAAGAGCTTCAATTTTGCCAATTCAGCATATAAGGTCATTTTGATCAAAATATTAATTTTGAAACCTCTCGGAGATTCCCAGACAAGCTTTTCAGCCTCAGATTAATTTTTACAGTTTTTGAGCAGCAAATGACATTGAATTGAACACAGCCTCTCAGCTTAAATTACAGATATAGGAAAATTACCGCAACACGAATGTAAATAAGCTGTAAAGTTCTTCCTCGTCATTCATTCACGGTAATGATTCAAGCTGATCAAGAAGAACTGAAAGGAAAATTCCTTGCCTACGCTCGTTAATGACCATAGGAATAACGGCTATATAGCAAGAATTTACCCCTCAATGCTGTCTTAGTATATAATAAATGAAAATATAGCAAAGTCTAGATTTTTCTACTTTTCCTCAAAGACATTGTCACGCGATTAACGTGAACGTTGCGTGAAATTTACATTTTGCGAGAAATGAGTGACTAGGAGAGAAGAAAATGCTCATTAATGTCGAGGAATAAAGTTTGTGCCAAAAATAAATAAATTTAATCATCTTTCATCTCATTCACTCATTTCTATCGTCGAGGTTCAAAGTACAAAGTTTCGAATTTCTTACAAGTCTTGAAGACATAAAATATGAATCGGAATCAACACAAAAAAATGAAAATTTTTACGAAAGAATTTGCCAAATAATTTTCTATGCATAACACAATGCTTTACCTTATTTCTGTGCCTTAATAACTTGTGAACTCTTTTTAACCGATGACTATCAATCAGTCTCAACAAAAAACTATTTCTATGCCGCTTGCTTAATTATTGCAACAGCATCAATACTTTTTTTGTTGTTCGCAGAGCTGGTAAAAAAGCTCCAATTGTTTCTTAATGCACCTTGAAAGCTTTTTTATATATTTTACTCAGTCAGTTCTCAAAATTTTTTATTTTATTTCTTTTTGATTGTTTTGCTTCTTTTCTATTCCACTCGATGTGAGTCTTTATTATTTTTTGAAGACTTTCCTTTTTCTTCAAACGTCTTGTTTGGCCGGCTTTTTAACTTAAACTGAATTCACGTTGAGCGCTCGATTCACGATATATTTTGTTATTTTCTCATGCGATAGTGTTCGTGAGCTGTTGTTATTTGTGTGCTTTATATGTACTGATGCATTATTGAAATAAATATGAAAAAAAAAATACTTAATACTCTATAATCTCTCATTATTAGTTAACGTAGCTCTCTCGGGCACTGTCAAAGAATTATTTTAATTACAGCCATTGATTGACACTTGTTATGATCAAAACAAATTTATTTCTTTTAAAATGTTTGCAAATGACGCATTTTATAGCTTTTTATTGCCATTTCGTTCTTGGTCAATTGGAAAACAAGCCTTCAAAAGAAAACAAGAGAAAATCTGTGTCAACATCCTGATTCTATCGTCTTATATACTTTATTTCGTTTGATTATCATTTTTGGAGCAAATTTTTATTGCTTAGCAGTCACGTTGATATGCGGCATGGTTAAAAAAGGTTGAAAAATCAATTTTAAACCGTAATAAATTGTGACAAAATGAAAAATTCCCACAAGTTTTTTTTACTTTATCATAATCACTTGTAAATACAAATGTCGATGTTCTGTTTTTCCATTTCAGTCGTCACAAGTTAAATGTTTACTGTTTCTAAATGAAAAATAATTGATAAATTCTCAGAATATTCCGCAGTTTATGGATTTGTCAATTTTAATATCTCAAAAAAGCTATAATTCATTAGTAATTAATATAGTCTGACTTATTTTTCAATAAATTTGTTTAGTATAATTAGCATCTGATGGCTCATTAATTGCCAAATTGTCTAGATTTATAAATAATTGTAAACATTCGGACAGCTGAACAAATTTCGCCTGCAAATTCTCTTGAACTTGGCACTTTAATTAAGCTTACACGCTTGTGAAGGTCAGAAAGTATGTCAACAATTAAGTGATTATGAAAGGTACGAGTAAAATTCTTATCAAAATCACATTTCTCATATAAGTTCTCTACGCGTATAGAGAAATCTTACTTTATGTGCTTAAAGTATTTGCGAACTCAATGAAAGTAAAATAAAATGCGTAGATGAAGATCAGGTGAGATGATGAGTATGAAATTTTCTTAGCTAAATATTATGCAAATACATGCTAATTTGGAAATATTATCAAGGACGATTGAAAAGTCACGTTTTGCTGGATATAGATCTGTTATGATCTCACCAAGGGCTATATTTTTGGAGTCATTCACTCATGACATTTAGCATTTAATGACAATCACACCTAAGGAGATCTATAGCTTCAATAAGACCAGTTTCGAAATTAAAACAATCAATAGGACAGATTTGCATTTGACTATACGAAGCCATAGTTTGTTTTGATACCGATAATCAGGTTTTAGCATAGGCATGTGTGCTCTTGAATGCCACCGACTGTATCAAATACATTGCTTAAATCAGCATTGCTTAAAAACAAAAAATCTCGAGTCTCAGAAGTAAATAACTATAAACAGATGTCGATTGTAATCTAAACTACATGTGCAGTGGAATTAACATTGTTGCTAAACCTCATTACAGGAAAATATGTCGTATTCAACTCTCTAATCATGGTTTTATGGCCTGTTCATGCTTATTATGAACATCGTACGATAAATATTGCATAACTTTGTAATATTCCTTTAATGGCATTTTCTGACTGATTTCCTTTCATTTCTCATTCTTCGTCTCGTCATTTTCGCATAAACTTTATGCATTTTTTGAAATTTGGCAACGCTACTGAATTATCACGAAGCACAGTGGGTCCAAAAAAAAATAAATGAATATTAATAGTTGAATCGCCGTGAACCGAATCGCAACATTTATTTGACAAGAAATTTATTGTGATTTAATGCCGTAATATTTGAGATTATTTTCGTACACATATGAAAGTGAGTGTTGATTTGATTGCCTTGAAGAAAATCTGCAAAATTCTGGATTTGCGTACACATACTACTGACACACATTCTTCTTTAGAAAACGAAACCGAGACTTAATTTTTTTATACGTCGTAATTATTTCACTCTCAAAAGAATGTCTTTCATTCACCAAACTTTATCAGGCAAGCAGACTTAAAATATTAGGAATGTTCGTGTGCGATCGTTATTCGGGCCTCTTTTTTATCGCAAAATATTTCATGTATTTTCAAGGACATCATTCTTTTTTCGAGCTATACATAATATGTTATTCTCTTAACGTATAGTAGACAATCCTACATCGCAATATGAGCGTTAAACTCGTGCAAATAGAAAAACAAAAGTTATAGAAATTATATTCATTGATGAAATGTGTTTAGAGGTAAACAAGATCATGTGTTGATTCAGAATTAGTATTGTGTGCGAACGATTCGAGCCTTTAAAATAAGCCAATCACAGAGCTTGAGATCGTAAATAGTTGCTTACATCACAGTGTCTACTACCCAGAGCTTGTTTTGTTTCTCATTTCCTCATTGTTGTAAATCAATTACGCTATTAAATATTTGTTATTTTCCATTAATTCTAATGCATTCGTTACAAAATTTTATCCTGAACTTTAAGTGAAAAACAAAAACAAAATTCCTAAACCACTTATTCACTGTGAGTAGGCTCGATCGATGGGATTTTCTTGTATATCTCGTAATAAATGTGACGAATAGTAAATGAAAAGTAAGAATAATTATTAATAATGTTGATGTTGTTTACAAACTGATGAGTTTAAAGTTAAGTAACAATGTATTTGGTTAGAGCATATGAAGGTCAAACAAACAAAGTGCTCTGTATTATGTGACGCACATTTATTGAAAGTGATAATGTTTATTAATACAGCATTGTCTCTCTCATTCTCTCTTTAATTTTATGAAGAGGAACTAGCGTTGTTTATTTTTAAAAACACTTTTGAAAGTTTACAAATAAACAAACGAAAGCTTTATGAACTGATAACGTGAAGGTTCATGTGTTTACTATAAACATTTAATAATGCACTTCGATAAACGTGACTAATTCTACTCATTCCAGGAACTTATAGATTTTTAGACATGCTAACGATTCCTCAAAAAAAAATTGATCTGTTCCAATTCGGATCTGTTAAAAATTGAGAGACATTTTCTAACGAAAGTGTAAACAGCATGCAAATGTGTGAACATCTAAGATTCATTTTATGAATAGCTAATCGTTTTTCAAACTTTTTAACAAGTTCAATACAAATATTTAAACAGTAATTGGAGGCAATTTTCGTTGTTCTGATAAGTAAATTTGAATCATTTGTGCCTTTTTTTTTACTGTGCAAATTGATTCCAATTTTTTCCATGTCAAAAATAACTCTCGGGTATATTAATGGATATGAGGGAAATTATTTTGGCTCGTGATCAAAATTACAGTCTACGTAAAAGGCATAATAACGTTAAATGCCTGAGTAAAAAGTAAAATTATTCTCAATTTTAGTTCATAAACCGGTTTGAATGTGAAGCAATAAATTTTAGGGATTTTAAAAATTATTTTGTTCAAGGATGTAAACTCACGTACACAGTAATCTCAAAATCTCATTTCTGTCCACATCCCTTCTACCTTCTACTTATCATCATGCCATATGTGATCTGCTGATTTGATCGAACCAATCAATGAGCAAGCAACGAAGACAGACGGAAACGCACATGTGTACAATGAGCAGCAATAAGCATGCACTTTCAAGGCACACAGAAAAACAAATCACCTGATTCTTGTTTGTGTGTAGATGTGCGTGCGTAGAGTTGTAAAGAAAAGAATGAGAGAGAAAACCGGAAAAAAAATTGCTCGCAATTTCTTTTATGCTACGATTTCTGATGATTATGACTCATTGTATTTTTTTTGTGCAAATTGGACTTTGAACTATCTCACGATTATTCTGAACGGATTTTATTGCGAAATAGCTACTGATTAAAACGAATGAGAGAGTCTTTGTTTGAGACATATTGCATTAATTAAGGGTGCATCCCTTCTTTTAAAAATCAAGATATTTCTCGAAGTTTATGCAGCTGATTGTGTTATTTGACACTGCTTTATACAGCATAAGCAACAATTGACAAAACCTAACATAACATTTAATCAATATCTTTAAGAATGGTCACATTTTTCAAAAGGAGTTGTCTAGACGAAAAATCGATTCTCCTATATCCTCGGAAAATTCATAAGAGGAAGATTTTCACGAATCACTTAAATAAAATTGAGAAATATTCAATATTTACCTATTTTTCACGCTTTTTACTATATTTTTATCACTAAACTTGAACTTATTCACAATCACGAATCACTTAACTACACATTTATGCACAAACAAGTTTAATTAAGTAGACAGCAACTAGGATTTTCACGATTTTTCCTTCTTATGCTCTTTTTCCCGAATCGCGAATAAAAAAACTGATTCATCAATGACGTTGGACTGTTCTTAATATTCGAAAAATTTGATTAATGATGAATGACGCTAGAGTTTTCGTTGAAAATTAATATAAAATTTTATTAGAAACCAGCATAGAAAGCTTACTGTTTCAGATTCAAATTGAAAATATTGAGAAATTTAAAAATTAATGTTTTACATTTTTGCTTGGAATTCCGTGATTTTGAAAAAATATAAACCGTTAAATTTATGCTGCAACAGAAAATTAAGCAGCATAAATCCTAGAGAGCATATTGAAGTAAATTATTGCTGTTTGCTGCATTATTCGCTGGAGGAATATTTGAATTTGAAATTGGTTGGGATTGGACGGTTTGAATAGTCTGTGCTGGTGCTGGCAATACTGAAGTCTGCTGATTCCCAGGAAGGGGTGAGAACTTTAGATTTTGTTGCCTGTTATTGAAATAATTTTCATTAATTACAGCTTTTATGTAGAATAATAAAGATAATACCCTTCAACACTCTTCACATTATATGAGATCAGAAAAAGAAAATTAACAACAAAAAGTATGGCTGAATAATCAAACATTACGATCAAGTTCTACAATACTTCTGGAAATAATTTATATCAAGTCAATCAATTTATATAATCAAACTCATTTTGGTAATTTTGGACCTTCTAAAATTAACTTTTTTAAAGCATATAATAAATTTAACTTCTTTTTCATTTACATGTATGCGCAGTGATGCGCACGTCATGCTCAGTGACAAATTATTTTACTTTTTTATATCAGTAAAAAACAGCATTATTATTAATATTATTCTCTTCGTCAGATAAACAGGTCAGGGGCGATAAAATGGAACTTATTGCTAAACAGAATCGGTAACAGATGAAGGTTGTTGAAGATTATCATACTCATCACTTAAATCATCGGTATTATGCTCTAATTTCTTTGATCGCAGTTCAAACACTTTGCTGATTCCTTCACGAAAAACCAAAAAGTTGTAGTCGATGACACCTGTTGGAATTAACAGGATTAGACCTTGCACAGCATGTGCAATAAAAAAAGTAAGTGCTTACCTTGCTTTGTAAAATTTTCCTCGCGTAGAATGCAAACTAAGGCTAAGAATCTATTAACTTCTTTGAGATACAAAATTGTACTGTTATTTAACTTGATGAGTGATGAGCTTTTGTTGTCAAAGGCTGATAGCTCCTGATTCTGACGTGCTTCCACGGTTAAGCCATAAATATCACTTAAATCGATGACAACATCAATCATGTCGCAGCATAATTCATAAGTTTGCATGTCAACCGGTGCTGAATCAGTGGCTATATAGATTTTTGAAACAACATCAAATAGGAACGCTTTTTCAATGCCTGAATTTGTAATTAAAATATTGAGTAGATTTTCAAGTGTCGGAAGTTGTGGAATTAATTTCTGAACCACTTTAGAGAATGCCTCAAAAATCGAATGATCATAAATCGATGTTAAATGAAAGCTCAAATGAATGTCATGAAATCCAGCATCCTGTAAATCATCTGTTGCTCTTTGATGGATATCCCTTTGTGACTCAATTTTAAAATCATCGGATACGCCATCAACTTTGTGAATGAAAACTTCAAACTTTATTCGAGAGTTTACTTTGTAGGCCTTTGTAACAGTTTGATTGAGTTTCGTTAGCGCATCCAGATAATCATCTTGAGCATCAATAACAAAAACAAGTGCTCCACAATCTCCAAAAATCAGCTCGCTATCGAATGTCGGATCAAAGAAATCGATTTGACCAGGAAAATCCCAAATTTGGAACTGAACAAAACTGGAAAAAGACAATATCATGCACAATAAATTATCATTCAAATAAAACAGAACAGCTGATAAGAGAATGTATGTCTACTAGCATATCGTCTTATCAACAAAGCCTGTAGCTTAATCTATGGATCATTCTTGACTCCTTTTAATCCAGAGATTAAAGTCAGTCTAACAAATTCAACAGATCTAGAAGTGACAAATAACTACATCTGTGTATATAAACCTTTGGAAGTTCACTGACCTTGAATTATTGATATCTTCTTTGACAATCTAGTTGAATGGATAGAAATTCATTATTTAAATCATAAAACAAAAGATCCAACACATACCTTATTAGTGCTTTCAAGGAATAGCGTTTCATTTGGTGACATCTTATGGAAAACGACCTTTTGGATTGATGATTTTCCACTTCTTCTAAGTCCAAACAGAATAATTTTAGGTTTTAAATATTCCGGATTTTCATTGTTATAGAAATTCTCATCCTCGTCATTTTCATTAAAACTTGACATTCTGCTGTCTTATGGTGATCTTTGTGACTAGTTAATGCTTATTATCTCGTTCTAAGCTACTTTAAATGAGTTTTAATTGATTGATAAAAATACAGAAAATTTTGGCAAGTAAATATTTTTTTCGAACGGGGTCAATCGTAAATGACGTCGAATAAAAATGATGAATTATCACTACTCCCACCCTTATTACAAATGCCTCAAAAGCATCATACCCCCTTACTACCCTAAAACTTGAACATCATTTATTAACGAAGTCAGTTCGAATTTTCGAAATTTCATGTTTACATCTAGAACTATTCACAAAATAATTAATTTACAATGGATCTTGAAAAGTTTGCGAATGAAAAGTTCAATGGAGATGACTATGTTAAGCATCTTGTCAAGGAAATGGTCGCAGGATCTGAACTAAGTGAGTTTAGGAAGCAATTAACGACTGAAAAGGAAGGTGTCTCAAATTTATTGAAGAAAAAGGTTTTTGAGAACTACTCACAGTTTATCGAGACAGCTAGAGAGATATCACGTAAGTTACACAAATCATTAAACTTAGCTCTTATTCCTCAAATTCACAAGATATCACAATCTCATTTCTATATCCGCCCATAAATTATTTACTGTATCTTTTGAAAACTTACAGATCTTGAGTCAGAGATGTATCAGTTATCACATCTACTAGTGGACCAACGTAACTTGATTGAACAGATTAAGGAAGAGAGTCTCCTTGATGATCAAAAAAATATAATTGGAGATAATACAGAAAGTAATGATAATGATCAAGATCAGAACAAAAAGGCACTGTCAATAATTAAGGATGCATTAATTGGATATAATAAAAGCCTGGATGAAAAAGTATTTCTTCATGAAGGCTCATTAATCGAACTGGACCCGAATGATTATCGTCCAATTTGTCGATCACACTTGTTCCTGTTTAATGACATATTAATTATAGCAAAGATTAAACATGACAAGAAGTTAGAGTTTACGAATGAGTATGAAACGAAGAAAATTGCAGTTGTGAATATTAGAGAATTGACAGGCGTTAAGAATGCCATTAATATCATTACTAATGATGGAAATCGTATTTATCAAACGATTAATGCTGCTGCACGAACTGAATGGATAGAAAAGTTTGAAGCTACACTAAAATTCAATCAATCCACATCATCGGTTCCTGCTAAATCTAAGAAAGGCCCAGCACCACAACCACCAAAAGTTCTTCAAAAGCAAAGATCATCGGTTGAAACACAGTCAATTTGCAGTGACATGACATTAAGTCCAACAGCTTCGATTGCCACAGAAAATCTCGCACCAGAATGGCTAATATCGGCACCAGAAGAGATTCAAGCTGAAATTGCACAAAGGCATTTTGAGGATTCGCTTCATTTAATTCAGAAATGTGACGATTATATCCAAAAGAATCCATCATTTTATAATATTAACGAGATCCAGGAAAAGATTAAAAATTTGAAAACTATTCTCTCGTCAGTTCTCTTGCATGAATTATCTATAGCTGAGTGCCGTGATCTACAATCAGTTTTGAGATCTTCTCGTCGTCTTTTGAAATTGTTGGTTGAAATGGGTAAAAGTCGTGAATCATCAACTATCTTCCTTAAAGTATGTACAACGACAATAAGAACATCTCAAAGACAGGCAAGAAGAAACAATCTTCCAGTATCTGAATTATTTTTCTGTGACTTAGCCCAAGTCGCAAGTGATTTTCTTCGAGCATTCCAAAAACAATCAGCATGTACTGCAGCACTTACAGTCTGGTGCAATGATGAATTGCAATATTTTTCTCAACAATTAATTAAACATTATTTAACAAAAGGAACAAATTTAGAGACAGTTGCAAAAGTTGTTGTAAGTGTAAGAGAGCCATGCTTAGAGTTGACTAAAATTGGTCTCGATTTATCATCTCACATGGAAGGATTATGGCGAGTGACATTAGAGCAATTAATTGATGAATCAAGGCATCGTTTGATCGAGAATATTGGACGAACGGAAGAAATTTGGCAACCTTACAATCTTATTTCTAAAAGTAATTTAAGGGTTTTAGTAAAAGAACTAAATGCAATGGGAATCGATATGAATGAGCACGTTACAGGCGATACATTCATCAATTTGACACAATCAACTGTTAACTTCTGTAGACATTTCCTTAGTGTCACCGAAAGTTGTGCAATAATTGGAAGGAATAGTGTTTTAAAGCCTGACTGTGAAAAATTGTTGAGAGATCTGTTCGTGACACAGCATAATATCAAGCCTTCATTGACTCAGCAGAATGTTGATGTAAGTTTAAAAAACCATACAAATTACTTTAAACTGTTGTATTATTTTTAAAACATTTATGAGGTTTTCAAGCACCAAAATTTTATTTTCTACCCATTACAGCTAAATTTTGTAGCCAAGAATAAGGCATACACGGTAGACGTTCTTTTAGAAAAAGCTATAAGCAATTTTGAAGAAAAGAGTGAACATAAATGCATCTTATTGACTGAATTAAAAAATCAATTAAAGGCACCAAAACCTAAACCGAGAAATGTCTACAATGTAAATGTTTAAGACTAATATGCATACTGTTAAAAATTATGTTAAATTTATTATCTGTACCTATATATAACATTTATTATACACACTATTTTGATGCTTGATCCAATAAATCCTTTGCTTCATTGATTTTAGCTGCTAAATATGGGCTACCTCCTCTATCGGGATGATTAAGTAACATAATCTTTTTATGTGCATCTTTGACTTTAATTTTTGATGCCGATGGACTCACACCTAATATCAGAGATGCTTCCCTTTTACTCATTTTAGGCTCAAAACCTCCTCGATAGTACTTTGAGCTTGATAATGATTCGGAATCGAATTTTGGAAGGTTTCTCATGGCTTCTGCCATTTTCTGCGATGCATTTGGAACCTGTCTGATGAAGAATCGACCTCCGAATCCAACTGCTGCAGCTGTAATGTTAAGTTTATGATGTAATTTGCGTTTTAACTTACTTAATTATGAAAGTCATCAAAATCATTACTGGATGATGTTATTTGAATATTTTGTCATTCTTACCTGCTAATCCAGCTAGAATAAGCCCTGAAGTCTGTAAGATTAACAAAATACATGTGAGATAAAGACTTTTCGAGAATTCGAATGATTTTGAACTTGACGAGTTTTACAAAATATTCATGCTACTTACCATTGTTCTTATCTGTTAATTAATGTATCCTGGACTGCTTAATCATGTGTAATTCAAGAGATATTAATATTTTTATATATTTTAGAATTTTTTTGTTATTTTTGCTACAAATTAATTCAAATTTTAAGTTTCCGTTAATATTGTAGCATATTTTTGATGGATGTCATTTATGAACAGCCCTAGCTAGCTATTAAAATCAGTGAAAGAAACAAAAATTTAGTTTAATTAAGGAAAGCAGACACTTGTGAAGTTAAAAGTTTATTGAAAATAGAGTGATCAATTCAATAAACATGAAAAGCTTTTTAAATGCCCAATTTCACAGGTAAATATCAATTTTTTCACATAATTTTTAATGTTTATAATGAAAAACAGTGAAAAAGTGAAATAATTAAGTTATTTGTAATGGCAACAAGAGTCATCTGATGTTGACAAAACGAAAGAAAAGGTCATTAAAGCGAATTTAAGGAATGCGACGCAATTATCACTAAATAATGTAAATCAAAACATAATCGTACATAAATTCTCAAATAGCTAGCATAAATAGAAAGTCTTGAATAATATAGTGCCTGCATGTCGATTAAATAATATCCATAGTGTCGAATTATTTAATTCACCTTGAAACATTTTCTTTCGTTAAAAATCTCAAAAATGCTGCCGATTGTTCAATGTCGTTGCTTCATGTCTATTTTCTCCTTCTTGCTTAATGCTTTACTTTATTTATTTTACATAGTAATTCATTCATTCTCTCCTTCTCTCTTTCCTAAAGTTGTCATGGCTCTAATATAATCTTGTGTGGAGAAAACAGAACAGCACTAAGAAAACAGTCATTCGCCAACGGAATATGCTTCTCAGAGAAACCTCTAAGTAATGATTGCACCAAAAGTCTAATAGCATTTAATTGATCATTTTCATTTCCAATATGAATTATTTAAATTATTATTTCATGGTAATTTTAGAGCCTGGCGAGTTGTTTCTCATTGAAATCGGTATGAAGGAAGTCGGATGGAGTGGCCATTTAAGGCTCGGTCTCACACAAATTAATCCATTAGATGCATTTTCTGATGGAAATCTTCTTCCTCAATATGCTTTGCCTGATCTCGCCAATTTAAACCTTGGCACATCTTGGATCTTTCCAATTAGCAAAACAGCACCGATGCAGTCTCAAAATAGTATAATTGGCAATTCAAAGTCACCGTTCATAAAGACATCATGCGGAAATGTTCATCGAGGACTTTTACAGCCAACCACGAGCAATAAAAACTCATCAGAAATGCTCGCGACAGGTACACTTATCAAAATTTGACTGCAATGACCTCAAATTTTTTTGATTATTTAATTATATATTTTTTTTGTAGATACTGGATCGAGAATCGGCGTGTTATATATACCGACGAAAGAAAACAAAGACTTGGCTGAAATGCACTTTATTGTGAATGGTGATGATTATCTTCAGGCAACTGACATTCCCTATAAAAAATCAAACCTTTTTGTCGTAGTAGATGTTTATGGAACAACAAAGCAAGTTAAAATAATTCAAGTGAATGGCATTAATACACTTCAGTCGTTATCAAAGGACGTTATACTTAATTCTGTAGATAAGTCATTAGTAAGCCAACTTCCACTTCCAGAAAGTCTCAAAGATTACCTTCATTCTTATTCGTAAAGAATGAATCAAAAAACACACAAATGAAGTATTAATATTAAGTTAATGATGATTGTTAAGATGCTAAACAATGAACGGTAAATTGTATGTAATGTTTAAGATCTAAATACCTATCTATCTATCTATCTGTATGATAAAAATTAAATTCCAAGTTAAATGTTTTATTAAGATGAATTATGATTCAAATAAAGTAATAATACGTGTTATTACATAAAAGTCAAGCCATGATTATTTCTCATTACATATTAATTGTTTTATTAAATATTTTCACTTAATATTTTTATATACATCCAAATAAATTTCATTATTAAAACGATCATTTATATCTCCTTGTTGCTACTCGTGCTGGTCTTCTCTGTTGATTCCCACCCGTTCCGATATTAAATAGATTCGAACCGACTGGTGATGGTTGAGGCGGTGCTGTTTGTTGTCCTTGGAAATTAAAATTTCCTGAAACTGCTCCCGTTCCTGAACTTCCAAAATTAAACATTTGCGCATTCGATTGTGGCGTTTGAACTGTAACAGGCGCAGATGTAGATCCAGAGAATGAAAATGATGTTGAGACATTATTTCCAATTGCAGCCGTTCCAAATTGATATGGTGGTGGAGCTGAGCCTTGTTGTTGTCCAAATGGACTTGTTGGTTGTGCTGGTTGTTGTGAATTTGAGACATTTCCAGTCGAAGGATTAAAAGTAAATGATGCAGAAACATTTTGACCATTATTATTGGTATTACCTGCACTTCCAAAGATGTTATTTGATGACGATAAAGGATTGACTTGATTAGTATTAGTATTGTTGCTGTTACTTCCTCCAAAATTAAACATTCCTGAAGACGGTTGATTATTAGAATTACTGTTATTATTAGAAGGAGCCGATGGAGCGCCACCAAATGCGAATAGATTACCTCCTGATTGAGGCTGATTATTATTATTATTACTATTATTTTGTGATGAAGCGCTTCCAAATGGCGAATTTGTTGCTTGATTATTGGACGAGAATAAATTTCCTGTACTATTATTACTTCCAAGAACTGGAGTTTGTCCAAAAACTGATCCTGAATTTGCTGGAGCTGACGATGGAGATCCAAAAATATTTGGAGCACTTGTTGTTGTTCCTAACGCAGTATTTACAGTGCCAAAGGTTGGATTTGGTTGCTGTAAATTATTAGTGTTACTTCCTCCAAATGAGAATGGCTTATTTTCAGGCTGTTTATCGCCCAATCTAGCAAATATTCCTGTAGGCTTATTCTCATTATTCGTATTAATATTATTTGTTGGACCAGATTGTCCGAAACTAAATGCAGAATTTTGTGATGGTTGTGCTGATAATGCAGTCGTTGCACTATTCATTGTATTTCCAAACCCAAATGTCGAATTTGTTGTAACTGGAGCAGTTTGTGGCTTTTGGAATGAAAACATTGATGGAGCTTCTGTTTTCTGAACAGTTGGATTAACTGAGCCAAATCCAGTGAATGCAGAATTAACTGGTGTGTTACTTGTGCTGACTGTATTAGAATTGAAAGAGAATGAAGGCGCTGATGTTGTAGTTATAGCTGACGAAAAAAGGCCTGTAGATTGTGCTGTTGTAGCTGATTGACCAAATCCAGTGAATGTTGAACTAGCCGTAGTTGTTGGATTTGGAGTTCCGAATGGAAAACCACTATTTGCTGGCTTATTTGTATTCGTGCCTCCAAAACTAAACCCAACACCACTTGCCGTTGTTGTTTCTGGTGGTTTATTGATTCCTATACCAGTTGTTTGACCTAAATGAGAACAATAAAGCAATTAAAATAATCAAATTTTCAACGGATTTTTAAGATTTGAATGTACTACAAAAATTAACAATGAATTTCAAATTTGTTTTAACCGTTATTTTCAAATTTTTTTGACTTACCAAAACTAGGCACGGTTGCTTGAGCCGTCGATTGACCAAATGTAGGAGCTGATGCTTGGATACCAGCAAAACTCGGTGCTGCTTGATTTCCACCGAATGAAAACATATTAGTGCTAGCTGAAGTTGTAGCTGTTGGACTTTGGAAAGTCAAATTTTGGGAAGTAGTAGCTGGCATTAATGAGGATGCAGACGATATTTTTGGAATTGCCTGATTAGATCCAAATGAAAATGATGGAGTACTAGTTGGAGCAGAATTCTGAGCAGTCGTATTACTAGCTCCAAAATTAAACCCTCCCAAAACTTTTGGTGTTTCCACCTTTTCAGTTTGTGCTGGATTGCTTCCAAAACCAAACCCTGTCATGGGTTTATTGTCATTTTTAAGCCCAGCTGGCTCACCAAATTTAAATCCACCAACATTAGACGCTCCAAAAACTGGTAAGGACGTGGATGATGAAGTTACAGTAGAGGTTTGTAAGGAAATTGAGGGTTGCTGGACACTTTCAGTAGGTTTAATTGGTGTAAACGAAATTAATGATTTATTTGGATCAACAGCATTTAAATCCGATTTAGGATTATTACCAAAAAGTGCTAAAGGAGAAAGAGGTTTAGATTGAATTCCCATTGGTGACACAATGGATGTATTTGGAGCAGCAGTAGAAGTTATAACCGATGAAATAATGCTTGAAGTACTTTTAGGAATTTCACTTTGCGTCGTTGTTGCTGCTGAAAATCCAAACGAAAAGCCACCAATATTTGGTTTCGAAATCGTGGATTCTGTTGATGTTAAGCTTGAACTAGAAGAAGTTATCGATAAAACTGTTGAAGTAGATATTAAAGAAGGAATTGTAGATGTTATAGAAGCACTAGATTCTGCATCTTTCTTATCACTAACCAAATTACTTAAAATTGATGATGAATTAGTGGATATGACAGAATTTGACGTAGATGCAGGCGTCGAAATTGGAGCTATTGATGAGCTCGTAGTGCTTGTTGTGAACGATATTGAGGCAACAGGCTGCACAGAAGCTGATGTAATTTTTGAATCTATTGTGTCTTTGCCTTTTTCTTGAATTCCTTTTTCTGGTGATTTTATTCCTTGACTTAATCCTTTCAGCATTTTGTTAAGCTTGTCTTTTTCAACATAATTAATAACTTCATAATTTTCCAAAACCTTTTCTTTTGGCTTAACAAATCGGATTTTTATTTCATCATCATCATCATCGTCTGCATTATCATCAAGAGCTCTGAATTTTGCACGATTAAAAGCTGCATTTGGATCAGGTCGTGTGTTAAATAATTGAAGCTTTTTCGTTGGAGGCTCAACTTCGTTTTGTGGCTTTAATTCACTGGCTTTTGCATCATCGATTTTCACTTTATTAACTTCCTCATTAATAATCTCAACATCCTTTTGTTTTGAAGTCATTACTTGCGGTAAGGAAGGAGCAACTGATGAAGTTCTTGAATTGTTATGCAAACTCGAACTGAGTGCTGGTAATTTATAATGGCTTGAACTCAAGGAACTTAATAATGCATTATTTTTAGTCTTTACTCGTTTCGATTGTTGATTATTCGTGCTATCTAAAACAGCCCTTGTATATGAATTGTCTGGCGATGTTTCTTCACGATTTCTCTTTGCTGATTGCGGAATTGTCATAAATTCTTTTGGAGAATCAACAGAATCTGGTATGATTGGAGCACACACTTTCTTACTTCTATCTAATATCAATTCCTCATTATTAATTCTCTTTCGACAATTCTTTTCGAGAGCATCTAGAACACTTTTTGATGAAACTGGATAATTAGGATCAGTAATTGGCTCATGATTTGTAATAATTTTATGTGAATCATCTCTTGCTCTCATTTTAGTTGGAACTATTTTCGGTAATCCACTATTCAATTGAAATGAGCTACTTCTCATGATTGCGGCTCTTAAATTTGGATTCATGACAGTCTTATTCGGTGGAGCAATCCTCACTGATGTTGACCGAGAAATTGATCTTTTTAATTCTGTTTTCTTTAATTGAACTATTGGAAAATCTCCAAACTTGCTATATACAGGCTTACTCTTCTCTGGCTCATTTGACTGATCATAATACTTGACTAATCTTGATACGATTCCGTTACTTTGAGCATCTGTAAGTACACTGGAAGTTGAAAATAAAGATTACATGAATATAATGATAATTTATATATTTCATTAACTTACTGTGGATCGATTTTAACGCCAGATCTCAGCTTACTTGCATTGGCTATTGGAGATATTGATTTTCGTTTTGAATTCCTATACCAAAATAACGTGAAATCATGAAATTGGTTAAAACTCAAAATTATGTTTAATTCACAAATTATTTGATATTTGACTTACCCTTGAAGTTGCTTAGCCAGTGGACTTCCTATTGCTGTTGATTCCGCTAATGGAGCATTCATTTTTGAAGAATTTGGCGAAAAGTTTAAAAATTTCAGGCTCGAATTCATTTTTCACGATTTTTACTTGTTTTTCGATCGTCACGATATCAAAACCTACACAAAAGTGAACTAATTTAATTAAACTTGAAAATCGAAGCCTTATTAATATTTAAATCAATGAAAATCTCTTTGATTCTAATATTTTTAAATTCAGCACATAAACAAAAAAAAGTTTTTGAATTTGAATTTTTGACGTGAATTTAAATTTTTTAAAACCGTTGGAAAAAAGCAGCCTCTATTTTACACGCGGAAGCTAAAAAGAGCGATACCAAGACAAATGACATGGAATGGAGCAAACATAAAGTAGAATTAATCACATTCTTAAATGTGAAATCAAATTACGCAACTATAATTAAAACTGCTCAAAATATAGTTAAAACTGGTTAAAACCTGCAACTTCCCAAAATATAAAAAAGCTATAAATAATGAAGAATAAACATTTTTGATGCAATTTAATCATTTTTGATAAAACCGAATTTTTTATTTTTCATTCATAATTTCTGTTCTTTAATTAATTAATTGTCATATTGTCTAATAAAAAATATATGCGTATCTATGCACAATACAATCATTTTAAGATTTAATTATGTTTTTAAAAAATAAAACACATTTTTTTCTTAAATTAAGATATGAAACTTAAATCCAAATGAAGCAGAAAAATTTCAAATTTAAGAAAAATCAAAAGTTTTGGCAGAAACATTACTTTTAATTTTTTGTTCTTGCCGATTTGTACAAAAATCAAAATCGACACAAAACATAATCAAATTTTATTATTTTGATAAAAATTATATGGCATCAACAATTTTAAATTTATAAAGGAACGAATATTGATACTAGCGCAAAATCTAGTTAAAATTTTCATATGCCTGCAACTCCTGAAACTCCTGAATCTAAAAGTTCAATTAATTTGATTTTGTTTTAAATATTTGAACCATTGATTAGAAATGACCTTTTGTAAATGTCATGTCAGAAAATTATTTTTTTTTTCTGTGTGAATTTGTTTGCGCCAATTTCTCTATTCGCTATTAATAATATTCTTTATCTAATTGATTTACTTATTTTTTTGCAATTTGAATTAATTTCAACTTTTTTTTCCTTGTTTCTTTCGCTTTTTTTATTTTTGGCTTATCGAACTCAGTTTGTAATCTTTTTGTTTACATTTTGCACCTTGTTTGATAAAAACAAAAAAAGATATTTAATTTTAAGTAACATTTTATGATTAAAATGCTAGATTTCTCAGAATTTGTCAATCGACTTGAGGGATGCCAAAAATTTAAAATTTTAATATTCTCAGAAATTTGATAATTAAATGAATATTTGAAATTCAACCATTGAGCTTTGGTTTTTAATCACTACAACTTTATTCAATTTAACTATCAAATTACGAAATTTTCGAACCACTCAAGTCGATTTTTAATTGATAATTTTTCATTATTTGTATTTTATATATCTACTGATTGAATCAAGATGTGAATATTATTTTAAAAAATCTTTTAAAACGAAAATTTGAAAATTAGAAATATTTTCAGAAGTTCAAAGAAATTATTTTAATTTTTTAACTTCAAAAAAAATTTAAAAATTCAATTATTTTAAAAGTTTCTTAAAAATAATTCTCAAACTGATCTAATTAATAACTAAACATACTTAATTAATGAGTATGTCTTGACATCAAGCAGCTTTTTTACAGTTTTCTTTAAATATTCAGTTCTAGTTGACATAGCAAAATCACAAGTTTCGGGAAGTTTATTAACAATAAACATTTAAAATTTATAAATTGAAAATTTTCAAATTTTCAATTCAAGAATTTTCAAATTTTCAATTCAAGAATTTTTAAATTAGAAATCTTTTGAACATTTTAAATTAAAAATCTTTTGAAAATTTTAAATTAAAAATCTTATAATTTTAAAATTTCTAAACTCCCTCTCCCTTGACTTTTGTGTAGCATGTTACAATTTTCATGATTTTATTATGAAATTTATGGGGTGGAAAAGCTACAAATTTTTTTATAAATGATATTTCATAAGCTATGATTTTTTACAATACAATTGTGGACTATCTAAATATTTGGCTAGTGTTCAGCACATCAGTACTATTAGAGCAATAACATTTGTTTTGAGAAGACTTTTCCAGACTACAGAATTTCGATATTTTTGAATAATTTTTTATGATTTGATTAAATTTTTATTAACTTGATGATTTGAATTTTATGTCATTCAAATTCTAAATTTTGGAAAGTTGGATGAAAGTTTAAATTTTTGAGGATTCTCTTCTATTAAGCACGAACAAAATGTCTTGTTAAATTTTCTTTATAAACAAACATTTTTATTGTTTAAATCTGTCACAAAATCTCAGACAGCCCATCCTCCTGAATTATGAGAACTGTTCTTTATTACTGATTAGCTTTAATCATCCACAAAAAAACCTAGTTGTCATAATTATGAAGCTTTTCTTCTCAGATTTCATACCACATGTTAATCACTCATCTTAAGTGACAAAATTAGCACAGAATCTGATAACAAGAACAATGCTTCATTGTCATCGTATTACGTTACAGCTTTTGTGTGTGATAAATTGGATTTTACTTGTGTAAACAGCTCATTAACATGCTAGACTACATGTGACAGTGTCGAGTGTATTTCGAGGATAGAATGATACATACAAAAATTTTTTTGTAAGCTGACATAGTCTAGATGATCAAACTTAGGTGTCTAGACTTTAAAATTCATTAAGGTTGAGCTTTTAAAACCGGTTCCTTCCTAAACATTAATTTTATATTTCAGGGTTACTTTATCATGCACAAAAATGGTACGGGTAGTTAAAACTTCAAATTATTTTAATCCTAGCTTTGTCTGGAACTTCCAATCTTAATCAAATTTTCCGATCCTTCGTCCAAAACTCACCCCTATAATCGCATTTCAACTTGCTTATCCGTTGTCCCATCTCACATACGGATGATTAAAATGTCTTTGATAAAAAAGGACACATTTAATATGCCTACTCATAAGAACGAGTCGATTATGCTACAAATTATTTTTATATATTTTGTCATCTATCGAAATAAGAAGCTACAGCTTCTGTCTAAATGTCATTGAATTGATTTTGTGTTATTAATTTAAAATACTTTGAATTGAAATTTTTTTATGACTTAGAATTTGACGAGTTTGATGAGAAGAAAATGCTACGAAATAGATTAGTTTTGGATTCCTTCTTATTCGGCTGTGGACTCTTTCCAATCTTTGTCGTTGATGGTGTCGGTGATAATTTGTTATTCAATGCATCATTATATTCCTGAGAAATTGTAATTGGTGGCATGTCAATGATTTGTTCGTCAGGTTCTAAACTTTCTGGGATGTTATTAGAGCCTGTGTTACTATCAAGAGACATTGTTCGATGTTGTGTTGCATTTAATTTTGCTGGAATTCGCTGAATTATGCGCTTATGCATCGATGAAATGCTTGTTGAATCTAAATCAGAACTACGAAATGATCGTGTGCTACCGAGACTTGCTTTGTCAGCTGCCATATCCTAAAACCATTTATTATTAATATTCATCAAGAATATTCTAGAAAAAGTCTCATACCTGATCCAGTGGGGCTGTATATTGTCCATCTAATACATAAATCATATTGTCAAATCTTACACGCTCTGAAGTTCCATCCTCTCCGACTTGATCACAATTTCCTTGTTTGTAACTTAAAATTGAACCCGCTAATGCCTTCGTTGATGCTGAACCGGACTTTTCACTGACCTGTGTGACAGCCGATGCTGTCTCACTTATGTCAGCTTGGACTTCCAATTTATGTCTGATTATATAATTAATCAAATTTGTCACATAAATCCCAAACGAGACAAAAATATAATCAAATTCTCACCCATTAATGCTGCCTGCAAGTGCTGTCGTTGATTCACGCACCGATGCTGACGGAGCATTACCGGAACTGACGCCTAAATGACTAGCCACACTTAAACTCACTTCGCCTATACTTGTTGCGCCTATTCTTGATACAGCATCAACACTTTGTGTGTCTCCATGCTGTTTATTATTACTCACATCCTCGTCCTCGTCAAATTCAAATTTGACACCATCACGTGAAGTCGAAACGCCACAGCCGGCACGGCATAATGATACTAAAATTTTTCGGAAGTGGATATAAAAATTTTATTGTGTTTAGAAGGAGGATGAGAGGTTCTTACCTGGCACAACACCATAAACATAGAATAATAAAATTGGAACTCCAATGGCAACTGCTAGACCAGCTAACACAGGGGATACGAGCATCTGTAATAAAAGTAGGATTTTGATTAGTTGCTTGATTTAATTTGGGGTTTTATTGGTTTTTGAGGTGATGCATCCGCAAATATACATGAATAATACACCAGAATGCGTATTCGACATCATTTTGAATGTGAATTTAACTCAATTACGTCATCATGCTCAACATACATCTCCCATACTCCTATAAAATATCCCTCAAATTCAACATTAAATACCCAACCCTCTTGATACACTCAAAATTATAACGAAAACAAGCAGACGAAAAAAAATTTCTCCACTTTCTCCCTGAAAAAAAGCCATACCGGAAGCATATCCAAGGATAGAGAATGAAAAACAGCAAATTTGCCATTTCAACTGCCAGACAGGGTGGGGCAAGCAATTATAAAATTTTTGACATTAAAATTCTCTGATGAAGTTTCAAAAAAAAAAAAAAACAGCAATCAACAGAGAAGGTAAAACACATTTCATTAATGACAATCGATTTTCGTCACCAAGACCGGTATGTACATATGATATCAAGTCATCCGGTAGAACATTATTTTTACGGAAGCAATCAAATTCTAATAAATCAACATTGAGGCTGTTTATTTTGCCATTTCATGTTCTTTTTTCATGTCAATTTTTACCGTGGCACGACACGGTTTCATTCGTTATGCTCTCAATAAATAAAGCAGATGAATGTTGTATGTAAGAGATGAAGAAGATAAAATGTCGTGAACTTTTCGAAAAAAAAAGTACGAATAAATATTTCATCTCTTATGATGATGAGATTTTTTTCTTATATATGTTCTGTATCTAGGTTGGGATTCATCCCCTCTTTATTGAATAGATTAAATGTGATCTTATATAAGGCTGAGAATTTTTTTGGGTATTTGCAATGAAGAGATGTGAAAGACATTTGAAATTTTCTATTTTGTGAAGGTTCTTAATATTCAGGCTAAGGCTGAGGTAATGCAAATACTCGAAAAAGATATTATGATCATTTACTGACGTGTGTGGACATAAGCAGTACATATTTAAGAAATTTGTTAATTCAATGCTCATGTCAAACTATTCATCATATCAACCCCCACAGCCATATCCACGTGCAATCTATATTTAAACATTGCATAAATTCATAATTTTCCTAGTTTTATTTCCCATTTGGGAATTCATAAAATGACAATAAAATAAGGAAAAATCGATACGTAAGCATAACATTTTGATTCAACGATTTACTTATTTAATGGATGCATGTAGAAATCTATAGAATTAATAACTTGAAGCTAAGCCTTATAAACACTCATTAAATGTTGCATAAAGCTAGCAAGGCTATTTTCATATATGGAGTGCATTATTCAAATCGTTAAGGGGATACTGAAAAACTGTGGAGCTAGAAATGCCCAAATTCACCGTCTTAAATGAGAGCACGTGTCTATAAATGAATCAGTCTCTTGAAATATAAATCAAAAACTATATCCTTAGGGGCTGTTCACTTATTACGTAACCCGAAAAAATGACTTCTTAGACCCCCCCCCCCTCGTAACAAAATTTGTATGAAAAAAAAATTTCCTTGTTTGAACCGTAACAAAATCTTAGACACCCCCCCCCCCCCTCCCCCTAAAAGCGTACAAAATTAGGAAACAACTCCCATAATACAATGTCATACTGCTCTGCAAATAAATTCTGTATTATCCTTGCAATATCGATAAGGCATAAATATAATTACATGTGGATTATGTACCTTCAATCCCCAAAGTGAAATTATTTCGCAATACTCATTCTCAATTCACAATTTACTTTGTATTACGATTCAAAATCTACAATTTAATCAGATCTGCAAATTTATTCCTGCAAACCAACTCAATAGCTAACAAAGCTCATCTCCATAGAACAAAATTCATCTTTTCACTAGACTAATCATGTAGATCGCATTCTGAATTGTAAAGAGCAATGAAACTCATCTTCACGTGAACGTCATGCAGAATATTAAAGAACTTAATGCCATGAAGCATAAGCACCATTTTTTTCTCGCATCAAATAAGAAGAAATGAATTTTTCTACGCGACATGGAAAGATTTTGTAAGCTTTTATGAGCATCGAAAACTGCTTGTTTGTTGAATGTGAGAAGAAAGAAAAAAGGAATCCTGTTAGGGTCATGAGGCGAAATCTGTTAACATTTTCGCTCATTTTCTGACAGAAAATTAATGTCGTGTGTGGGCATTATTTTGGATTTGTTGTATTATTGGTTGCTGTGGAAGGATTACAGTTGAGATTTTTGTGGCGAAAGAAAATTGGATATGTGTTTTTGGAATTGATGGGGTATTTGGGTGTGATGAAAGTGTTTGGACAAGTTTAAGGATGTGAATTGTATTGCTTGGATGTTGTATTTATTGTAATAGTTTGTGTAAGCTGGATGATGAGTTATTGAACCATGTTGTCGATTGAAATTGATATTGATATTTTGAATCTTCTCAAGAGTTCACATGTATGGTGTGAGTCTGAAGGTCAGAAGAGGCTCGATTCTTAGGTTAAATTAGTAATTTTCTCGATTAACTGAATTCAACTGCTAACTGTGGTCTAAAATAAACCATTTGCAATGGTCAGTCATATTCAGTGAGTCATCTGCAGTGACTGAGAGTTTCTCCTCTGTAAGGAATCGAACTCACATTTCACAACCTAGAAGACCATAAATTTTCTGACTGTTTCATAACCAATAAGTCATTTATCTCTTACTGGCCTAATTCTCGCACTGACAAATATATCTACACATAGGTCAACACCCCAGACTTCATTGTGCATCTAAAATAAAACATCCAATCCAATGAAATCTTCAAAATTTGTAATTTTCCAGAAATTCTCAAAATCATCCCTCCAATACCTCGATTAAAGCTCTTCACATTACAATGGAAAAAAAATTATCATCATCAGCATGTCTATCACGTTAACAAAAAATAAGGCACACGATAAGACAACAGACACATGCAAAAAAAGTGTAACAAAATCTTTAGAAAAATTTAAAAATGATAAATGGCACGCTAAGTACCATCAATGAAGTGGAAGCATAGAGTCGCGAATAAATAATGGAAAGTGGAACTGCTCACATACAACAACAAAAAAATCTGAATAGAGAATTAGTTTCGCGACACCGAAAAAAATTTGAGAAAAAGAAGAAAATTTTCTTCAACATGCATGCATCTATCCACCCAAACTACGTAAGCATGTAAATGAGAATTTCATTCACTAATACAACAAGCTATTGTGCATTTTCCATGCCCTCCTCATTTCTACATATATCGTTTGACTGGAATTGAAGCATACAAAAATAAAAACGTTAATGCTTTCAGTCTCACGACATCTTTTGAGCTCATCAGACGTGCTTTTTATTAATAGGAAAACGTTTTATTAATTTTACTCACTCAAAATAAAATTTAACGCATGTTCATAATTTTATTTTGTGGTTCAAATTTTTTTATGGACTAAATCAAGTGCGTGTTAAGCCAACAGAAAAGTGATCAATCAAAAATCCACAAAGAAAAAAAAAAAAAAAATCTCGAGCAGTAAAAGCTGTTGTGCATGATTCATTGCTTTAATCGCACATTAATAAATTCTATGAAAAATCATTATAGGCTTAGTGATTTATTGAGTGACGATAACTTTTCGTATTGTTTTTGAATTAATTGAGGAAGAAGGCAAAAACGAAAAGAACGAAGTAAGTTGAAGAAAAAAAATATATAATACAATTTCGGAACTGTCAAAGAACGATTAGAGTGTGCTGAAGAAATGTTTTGGGAATCGGTTGATGAAAAGGAGGATTGCGATAATGAAATGAGACTTCGTGGGGTTTGAGATGTGGATTAACGGAGAATTGACGGACAAAAGTCATGCGAAAAAATAATTGAATTTGTTTGGCATCTGGATTGTGGTAAATTGACATGAGCTATTGTGGTTTTGTGCAAATATGTTACAAAATTAAGGTTCTATATAAAGCAAAAGGCTGTTATCATTTTTTGAAGAGGATTTTAATTCAATATGGAATATTTTAGAATTTTCAAGGATGATTATCGACTTTTTTTTTGCAAAAACTGCTAAGTTTTGATGTGACTTTGACCTACAAAGCTTCTTCGTTGCTAGCTGGCATCCCTTAAAATATGTTTAATGATGTGATTTGAAGATTCAAACCCTAGCTTTACCTATTACAACCTTATACGCTTAAGAAATATTAGATGATGCCTTAAAATCAACATTTTCTCATCCTTATCCATCAGGAAAGCTTTTAAAAATCCAATTAAGCTTAAAACTCTTTTGAAAAAAATAAGGGTCAAATTTAATAAATCCTTTCACAACCCCACCCCCACCCCTATGACCATAAACCTCAAGATCCAATCATTCTAAGAGCAACCAAGTAACAACATCCGATTTCTTTGTAATTAGTAACAATTTTAAAACACAAAAGCCCTCACAAAACAAAGAACAACTCATTGTTCCATTAAAAGCTGATGAAAATTGTAAAATCAACAACAAATTCGCTTCAAAGAACAAGAATAATAAGCGAAATAAAATGACAAGAGGCAGAGACAAAACAAGCTTTTTTTTGTACATCATACAAGTACGACAAATGAGAAGAGTGAGGATATTGATTTTCCTCCCCAACTATACGCGTACGGATAGAATGAATCTTTCATATGCTGCTTCTTTTTTGTTTTTCCTCCTCTTTTCTGTTTCCTTTTTAATATTATTGGGGAACAAGTCAAGGGAAAATCGTATAAAAGTTAAAAAATATGTAAGTTTATGTTCTGCATGTTCTTAGTAAACGAAAATCTATAGCTAGAAATATTTTATCACAGTGGATGATTTTATGTGATAATTTTTTTTTAGGTCAAGGCATAAAAGCTGGAGGGTGTTATGGTGAAAATCCGATGCTAATGTTGGAAATTTGAAAGTTTTTGTTCATCTATAAAAAGTTTGCAAAAACCTGAGAACTTTGAGTTTATTGATGATGATTGTTGGGGTTTGGCGGGTTAGCCAACTAATCCAAAATTATTCAATCCTAAACAATCAAATACTTATCGCATTTTAAAAAGGATAAACAAAAGTCTTCAGCTCAATTTACTTAAACATATTGCTACTTCCGAGAAGATCAGTCAGTCCTTAAAAATCTCACATAGACCTAAAAATTTGAAAACTTTTTTTCCCATCGTTGCAAAAAAAGTTCTTCTGTGATTTTTCTCAAGTTTCTAATGTTTTTTGTTTTGAAATTTTTCCTAAGAACAATTTTTTTATTTCCTGTGGAAAACACACGAAAAAAATTGTTTCCTCATCTTTTTTAATCTCCAACAATTATTTGAGAATCTGAAAAGAATTCTTCAATATTTCAGTTCTGCGAATGAATTGATGCCCACGAAGTGAAGTACTTTCTCGAAATATGATTGAAGGATATCCAAAAAGTTTGAAGTTAAAAAATTGAAATTGATAAAATTCATACTTATTGACGCACATGAATAAGTTTTCAAATGTTTTAAAGAATATTGAAGTACATTATGTCCTTAATGTCAATCAGGAGTGTAGCAAACAACTCTTAAGTGAGGTTATCGACAGTTTTTGAACGACTTATTCAACTTTTCTTAAAAGTCCTTGAGAATTAAGGTCAAACTTGACCCCTCCTACACCCATAGTCTCAAAAATTGCATAAATCCTAATATTCCAAAAATATTTCAAATTTTCAATTCTGCCATCCTAAAAGCACAACAAAAATGCTTCTGAAAAGGCAAGAACACACATTTCGTAGTCCACAGAGAGATCTAAGAAATAAATCATCTGCTAAGTGAATGAAATATAAACAGATTTGCGAGTTGAATGTGAAATATTTCAGCAAACAATTTTTCAAGCGCTTATTTTAAAAGAAAGATCCATTCTCGAATGAAAAATGACTCCTTTTAAGAGTTGCTGTGAAAATTGTTATGTTCTTGGTTGATTAATGGGGATCAAGGATGGATTAAGGTCTAGAATTGAAACGATTTAAAATGTATTTAACCCTAAGAATTTTCTGGAAAATATTGATAAAAAGAAGTTAAGTTTTTACCGTTCAAAGTTTCAAATTTCCTTTGAAAATATTTAATAAATGATTACCTGACTTATAAGACATAAAGCTATCAAATTTTATGAACTAATAAAGTCTCTGAATAATTATTCTAATTAAAAAGTATCACATCAAGATGAAGGTTGAATCAATTTACATTCTGATCAATTATCAACTTGTCTTGTGAACTTATAATGTACACATCTGTTTAAATTAGTTCTGTGTTTGATATTCGACTAAGTTCATCTGTTTCTGATCAACAATCATGTTCTTCTGCTGTATTATGACTTTGCTAAGCTATTAAAAATTCTCTTTTTAAAAAACTTAAATTTTCATTACAAAAATAAACAAACTACTCTATTAAAAGCAGAGAATCAAACGTGTCATCATGAATTATTAACAACCCCCTCACCCAGCTTTATCAACAACATTGAAAAAATTCGATTTCCATTTTTAATTTCCTCAATAACAATTTTCGTACCAAAGAAATTCTATTAAAGCTCAAAGAGAGTTTCCTCATTTAAAATTCTTTTTATAACTTTTTCCACATCATTTCGGAGCAGAAGAGAATCCATAATTAATATTTCATCATGTCTGATGTACTTAATTTTAAAATAAAGCCATTAAAACCTCATAAGAGCTTTGGTTAACCTACATACGCCCAAATAGAATTGATGATGCATGAAAATATTTTCATCTTTCCAAAATTAATTTAAAGTCAAGTCAGAAAAGACAGTTTTTGATCAAATTAATTAAAAACTTTGTAAAATTCCTCATCAAAAATAGACGAGACTTGTTCAAGTTCCTTCAAGCTTTTCTACTTTCATTCTTGTATACAGAGTTGTATTTATTATCAAGATTATATTTCTGAATTATTGATGAGCTATTAGGAAGTCAACAAATTTTTTTTCTTTCCCGCGTATACATTGGAGTATCAAGTTCAATACGCAAATTGGAAATTTGATTCAATAATTGATGACTTTTTAAAATATCAAATGAAATTTAATACTGACTGAGTCAGACTAAGATGAATATGAGCACGATTGATGTTGATAGAATTTAAAAATATGTCAAGTCACGAAATTGATCATTTTTCATAAAAACAACGTTGAAGACATAGATTGTGACAAGACCAGGACCCAGATGGGATCAAAAACTGGAGTTTTGGACATGCTGAGAAGTCTTAAACTTAATCTCTATCTAATGGGTTGGCCAATAGCCATTTATGTGCAATAATCACTCAAAGCAACTGCTAATCTTTAACATTCTTCCAACTCTGCATCCACAACATAAAACTTTCACGAGCCACTTTGTGTGCTGCTTGAAATAATAATGAGGATTAGTCTCTCTTCTATCCATCTAGAAACAAAGCGTACAAACCAATAAATGCATTGTCTACAAGTCAAGCTTCCTTTATCCTTCTTCTTATTTTATACAAACAGAGACATCCACATCCACAAATCATTAACAGAGAAGAGAGGCAAAACAAAAAATAGCAAATGAAAATGTGACGTGAATATTGAAAATTAATTAAATAATTGTGACGTTGGAACAATGAAATGAGACGTGTGGGAGATAATATAGAATGGATATAATGATGACATTTGTGTACTTATAGACAATCAATTGATAAATCATCGTCATTTATGGACAGAGGAATGAAAAGTGAATTGAATTTCAATTTTTTTAAAAGTTAAAAGCTGAACAGTGTCAACATAGCCTCAAACCTTCGACCCACCATCCAAACCTAAACAAACAATTCAACGAGAATCAAAAAAAAAATTCATTTTCCGGAACAGAAAAAAAAGAAAAGCTGACAAAATAATTGTTTTTGGACGACGGTCGTGTCACATCCAAAGCTGTGCACAAAAAACAAAAACAATTTTTTTATGCTGGTTCTATCTTCATTTGATAAATGTAAATGACAAATTATTCAGTTAGTAATTGGCTATTCAGTGGATGACAGTTACTGAACTTTTATTTACGGACAAAAAACTTTTTCTGTACATTTAATTAATCTAATTAATTACTTTTGTATTATTTTAGATACACATCGCATTAAGTAGAATTAATAATCATGACGGATACCGAAGAAGATTCAGCAAGTTCAGACAGTTGGCCCGTCAACGAAGATTGGCTAATTGAGATGTTAAAGACTCATCACTGCACAAATAATGATATTAAGATTGCTGATTTCTCAGCTAAGCAGGGCTGCTCGGATGGCGTTAGTAATTTAAGTGACATCCTTGCCGTGTCCGTTACTTACAACATCGGCTCAACACCGATAGAAATCGCATCATCTGACATTAGCAGCGATAGCGAGAAACTTGAATTTATTATTAAACTTTTGCCGCACGATCCATTTAGTCGATATTTCGTGACTGAAGCAAAATTTGATTTACGTGAAATTCGATTCTATACGCGCGTTCTACCCGACCTTTTGGAGTTTCAGAATCAAAATATAAAGCCTGGATGTGAAAAAATGTCAATTTGTGTGCCAAAATGTTTCTACACGCATTATTCGCCCGGTAAATTGCCAGCTACTGGTAGCCCTGAACCGCCCGAGTCTATTTTAGTATTAGAAGATATGCGATCATCGGGATATAAGGTACGGATGAGATAATTTAATTTAATTGAAATTCTATACAGGTTTTGCAGCTGTGTGGTGAGGTTTTAAAATTGAATTAAGTTATGTGAAGGAATTCGTGATGATGTTGTGGATTTTGAAGGACAAAAAGGTTAAAAATGTAACGGCTTTTCAACATTTAAATTTTCAAACGAAAACATTTTAATTCAGCAGTGCTTAAGTGTGTGCTAGACATATCATTGTGCCTTTATATGTCATCTCAATTTCACAAATCAGTTGATCACTTTCTGAGCTAGACAACCACCAACTGTGTAACCTTTCAATCATATTATAGCTTCCATACCATACCCTACCCCATTATCTCATAATATTATGTAAAATATCTAAAATTTTATTCATTACACTCATTGTAGGGCATGAATTTCGTCGACGGATTGAATCTAGAGCAAGCTGAGTATGCAATCAAGGCTATAGCATCTGTTCATGCGCTATCATTGGGCATGAAGTTCAAGGAAAGAATTGATTTAAATGAAAAGTACTCGGTGAGTTAATTGGATTATAAATGGGGGCATGGCATTTTGTGATAACCTCAAAAATTTTTGATGAAGGTAGAAATGGAATAGCAGAGCTTATTAATAGAATTAGTTAAGGCTATTTTATGGATTAGGGAGCAAATTTAGCAAAGTCATCAGACTTTAATATTTTTAATGCTAAAATATTCCATTTCATGCAATTTAATGTGACATAACCTCAAAAATCTCATTTTTCAGTTCCTATTCCAAATCAACAAGGCAACGGAAAGTTACCAACAACTTCTCGAACAAGGTCTCCCTCAACTATCAAAGTTCCTCCAACAAAAAGGCAATTTTGAAAGTGAACTTCAAGTTCTTGAACAATTGCGTCCAATTACGAAATCTCTCATCGAAAATCTTCTTCAGCCAGTTGAACCGATGGGTCTTATTACCCACACCGATTTCTGGTGTAATAATCTCCTGTTCAAGGAGACACCCGATGATAGCTATAACGACAATTGTTCGATATTAGATTGGCAAATGATCACATATAGTCGACCGACAAATGACATTGCATTGCTTATAACATCATCATTACCATCGTGTATAAGACGTCAACATACACAAAAATTACTTGACCTGTACTACAATCTATTGAGGAGTAATTGCAGCAAGATAGGACTTGACATCGAAGTTGATTTGCAATATAGTAGAAATAAAATGGATTGTGACTTTCGGTGAGTCATTGACTTATTTATGGCCATTAATATCTAATGCTCAATTTATTTTATGTCTCTCCCATAGAAAATCTCAATTACTGTCATTTCTCTTATGCATTGGTTCAATTGACGTAGCTTTGGGACATGAGGAAACTGAGCAGCGACTTCTCGACGTCCTTCATGACTTTCATGAGGATAAAATTTTTGCATTTGAAGATAACGATATGTTTAAGTAGATTAGATGAGAGAGAAATGTTAATTATGGATATAGAAATGGATAATTAATTGTGGTAGAGATGGAAAATGAGCGATAGAATAATAAAGAATGTGGAAACAGTTGTTGGTACATGCAAAAAAAAATCAAATTACAAGCAAAATTTTCTCTGTCTGTTCATTTTTCTTTTCATCTTTTTGGATAGTCTCGTGTCACAGATGTCTGAGTTCTCAATGAAAATAAGTGGAAAATTTTTGTTTGAATAAATTATTTCTATAGGGGATGCAACGCTTTCTAAAGGGTTTGTTTTGAGAATTTTAAAGCGACGACTCATTTGTGAAGCCATTTCAAAGCAACACTTCAAGCAAATGACAATAATTGTGAAGCGCTGACTTAAAAGTTGAATTTCAAAAGCTTTTCAAACACTTTAGAATTAAAGCAACGCTTCAAAGCAACGACTTATTTACTTAATTTGAACAATTAGCCTAAAATTTTATTTCAGAGCAACAAGTCACAAGTAATAGCATCAATTAATACAAAATAGCTACAATCCTATACAAACATAAAATCCGTCAGTCAAATACAGAACACAATAAACTTTTTTATCGCAAAATCTACGTAAAATCCTTCTTTTCGTGATGTTTCTATTCAAACCATAAAAAGGAGATTTTTGGACTTGCAAAATGTAACATTTTCATTTCATTGCCATTGAGAATATCACCATGAATAACTTTTATGTGGAAATATAAGCTTAGGCCTTTTTATTCCTTTTCATATTTTATTCCTTTGAATTGTGTCTACAATAGTCAATAACAATAATGATGAAAATACCCCATTCGACCCACGACAATTGTGTCAATAAATTTTGATACTCAAAAAGTGATTTTTTATGAACTTTCATTTCCGCCCATTAGATTCATTTAGTCTCAATCAAATAAAATACTGTCTGTACGAGATAACGTTTCGATTTAGTCCTGTGAATGCATATTAATTTAATGACATACTCAATCAATCTTAAAATTCGTAAGGATGAGTCAGTATGGACGGAAATTGACGATAATTGTAACATATTGTCCCAAATTCTTTATTGAATCATAAAAAAATATCAAGCAGAAGTAAGAAGTCATCGCAATGGAATAAAAATGCAGATTTTTACTGCCGTATGTGAGAGAACTAAGAAGAGAGAATTCAGTGCTGCGCATGTCTACAGCATCACTTCCAGCTTGGAAGTATTTTACTATAAACCAATACAGTCAAAACTTCAGAGTAAAAATTTGCCGGTTTGAAGGATGGGTGCATTTTTGAGGTAGTTAAAATCACTTCATTCTACTCTACTCAAGAATGTCCTTGAAGTCGTAAAGTGTTTCGAGGTCAACGGACTTGAAGTGGGATGAATATTCAATCATAAAAAAAAATTAATTACAGCTGAGTGAATTGATAGAATGAATATTTATTGATTGTGATTGGAGAATTTATTGGGTTATTTCCTGCATGATTTAACTTATTACTTCATTTAACAATTCAGTAGTTGGAGAGGACAGATGCTTGAGATGCTTTTATGTAGAATTCATATCTCTAGTGACTATATTCAAATCTTAGAAGGGTACAAGAGCTTATTTTGTTAAAGAAGAGCCAGAATATAAAGATAGCTCAAGTAATACAGTCTTCTTCGGTATCAACACCCATGCTCTGTGCATAGACCTGGTTAACTCCCACAATTCAAAAATTTAAAAGAAGACTTGCATTTAAGACAAAAATCTATAAAATCCACCAAAATTGACTGCAGACAATAAAGAAACAACAAGAAATTTAAATATTAAGCTAGATCATGCACATAGTTCCTTCCTGGCATTATAATAGCAGCTATGAGCATCTAATTGAACGAGACATTGTTGCAATACACAATAACCTATGACATTCTCAAATTTATTACTACTCATTATTCTAAATTAAGATATCCTTTATATACAGTCTAATTTTGACACAAGACACCACTTTGTCGGTCGATAAACTCAATGTACCAACAAAATAATTTGGGTTGCACCCAATAATTTATTACAAAGTATTCAGAAATAGTTCAGTCTATTTTCAAACTGTCCGAGTAATGCGATATTGTAGCGACGACATTAGTACGTCCACACAAAAATTCCAAAGAGACTAGCGTGACATATCTAAAGATAGACAATGAAGCTAATTTTGATTCATTTGGAAGCAATTTGAAGAGCATTTAAACAAAAAATAGCTATTAAACTTTTTCGGGGTATCTAGAGAGATTTAAAATTAAACCTTTGGATTTATGCGAGACGTGAAGTTCAACAATAAAAAGATTAAATGGATTTATTTCTAACAAATTTACAGAATTCAATCAAAATGAAAAAATATCTCGTGGTTTTTGAGATGAGAAAGCTATTCTCAACTAGTTTATATTACATATACTATAATCGACTAGTATCAAGATGAAGTTACATCGTAATTCTATGAACAATAAGAGGATTACTATCTCAAAGCTATAATCTCTTTAGGAAGTAAACTCCTGCATTGCTTGAAGATGCATCGTACAAAAAGTAATCATACTAATTCCACTTACCGATGCTGCAACTCCACCCATAACTGCACAGTTCCTTCGGTGTTTACTGACACCCTTATAGCGGGCGTGTAACTTCCGTCCTACCCATACTGGAATTCCTAGAAAATTAATATAAAGTTTTATTAGTACTTTGTGGATTAATTTTATTTGTTCGGGGAATGATGTCATTCACAGATGCTGTCTTAACTACATAGTAACATGCCCAGGGCAATGATGTCCCCAGTCTTTTGCTAAAAGTATCTTCGTTACTCAACTACGCATCTGTGAACAACCTTAAGTCCATCCCATCCAACTCACCAATAATCATGGCTGGTACAGCGATTCCCGCGACTAGAGCAATCATTACAGGTGCACCGACTAACGTTCCCAATTGCCACAGCAATTTCTTCTTCCTCGACCATGGCTTTGTACCCCAAAATGTGCATCCAGATGGACTCAAATAATGTAAATCTGTAATTTCTTTCTTACACAGCCAGCAAAATTCACTTCCACATACGGCACAGACCATGTGATTGCATGATCCATCATCGATTTTGACTATTAATACTTGACATCTAGGACATGGCTTTATGTCATCACCTACAAAATGGAAAAAAATACGTGATATATCATTAATCTGTGTCATTTGCAGCTATTGTTTAAACATACGATGTTGAGAATCCTGACTACTTCCAGATGTTTGTCTCATTGGACTATGACGTGCTGCACGTGCTGCATCACATGTCTGATCTGGATGCCATTCAGCCTTACAGTGATAACAAAATTGGAGATTGCATCCAGGACGTTCACATTTTAAACGTGGACATGATGCACATCCTGTTGCTATAACAGCGTAACTACAATCTGGTGCAGGACACCATCGAGAATCAGGATCGGCAAGGAGGACACGACGGACCATAAAGTCTAAAATTTAAATTCGAAAAATTTTGATTAATTTTGTGATAAATTTAGTCATGAAGTGGGAGGAAGTCAAGGAAATAAAATATGGCAATAGTATTCAAATTCATTTGATGTGCCTTAATTTTATTCCTGGAAATTCCTCTATCCAATTTGACTGTTCAACAATCTGAAAATGTGCGAAATGACTCGATATTTACCTTCATATTTCGATATCACGTTTGGATGCGGTTTGAGCAATGTTTGTATATCTGATGGATGCATGGAGTCAGTACATTGTGGACATGCTAAAATGACAATAATTTTCAATTAGCAAATTTAAATTGCGTTTTAAAAAATCTTGCAAAATCTCACCAATATCAGTTCTTGATTCCGTAATCTCAATCGTCAAATAGCGCTCGAGACACACTCGACATGCTGAATGTTTACAATTTAACATTGTGTACATATCATCCGGCTGCTCGTACTTCATATAACACAGTTGACATTCTTGTAAATTTTCGCATACTTTTGTCTCTTTTACGGTCGATGATTGTGACTTATTACGACTACATTTTGGCGATTTCTCAATGAACACAAATGAAATGCGATCGGTATGTGTTGATGTACCGGAGCACTGCGATGTGCTGTCATTAGTATTGTTATTATTATTGTTGTGCTGTAATTAAATAAAAATAAAGGAAATGATGAAAAAAATTAAATATTTCAAATATTTTTTATACCAAAATTAAATGATATTTCGGACGCATGAAGCTTGTTGGTTCTTGGTTCTTTGCAGTTACAGAAACTACTACCAAAAAATATTCTTGCTCATTAAAATCTTTTTAATTTTTTTTTTAAGAACTTGATTTTCTGGCAGATTTGAATAATTTTGAATATTACATGATGGTTCTAGGATGGAAATGATTTCGTGGAATTATAGAACATCAAAGATAAAGAACTGAATTGATGTAAATTTATTGAAAAACAGCAGTCTCATGTGGGATCCATAAAAGAAATTTATGAGAAGTTTTATGAGCTTTTCAAGGCTAGAGGATCAAGATTTTGTTTATTTTTCATTATTGGGGAGCTGAGTCTTGTTTTATTGGTCGATGATGTTTAGGTAGGACATGATCATAGGCTGGAAGTAAGATGAATTAAATAAGAATTGCTGTCTAGAGCAATAAGTGGTTCTTGACAGACAAAGCTCAACAAAATCAGTCTCTTTTTGTAAGACAACTTGTTCAAAGTAATCCCAGATGCTGTTCTTTAGACCTTATTGTTTAATGAACCCCTTAATATTACAAAATATTCAATTCACCTCAAACTTAAAAATTCTTTTCTTCCATTCAATCAAATTACATCAACTTAATCTTATCCCCACATCATGTCTTCCTTTAACATTCTGCAAATGTTTCTTCTACTTTATTGTGATAAATTAAAAAAATTATATATTTAAATGCCTTTCGTGTGTCGCAGACGTCGTGGAATAAATTTTCTCATCATTCTTTTGTGTATTCTTTGCAAGATCTTTTTTATTTCTTGCATAGTAAATGAGCAGTAGTTTAAAGCAAGTTTGTGACGTTTGAAAAAAAGTTGACGTAATTTCTTTGTGCTGTTTTCTTGTCTAGTCGAGTTACTGTTTATGGTTTTTGTGGTAAATAACGGTTAAGATTGTGTTTTGTCCCGATTTTAAATCGTAAATCATAAATTTTAAATGTGAAGCTCCTCAAAAAAATTCAAATTCACCACCAAGCAATCTTAAAACTGCTCAAAATGCCAAAAGCTCAGCAACAAATCAATTTTCTATTTCCATCCATAAAGCTCTTCGCTCATGTGAAAAATTACACCCCGGAGGATCATTTCAAGATGAATTCTTAATCTCGTAAATTGCATGAAGCCAACATGAAGCAGAAAACCGAGAGTTTCATGACAAATTGCATAAATTAAAATTTATCTTAAGGGCAAAAAGTCAATTCTTCTTATCGTTCCTTAAATATTGTGAATGAATACGCCTGCAATATGGCAAATTGTTGTAAATTGACGTCATTTTTCTTCATTCATTGCCATTTTAATTATGTGAATTGACACACAATAAAGTGGGAAAAGTGAGAAAGTTAATGGAAGTTATTGAACATGATTTATGATGTTTATGAGTGTTTGTGATTGTAGAATTAATTATATTTTGATATGATTTTGTGGTGGGGTTTTACTTTGTTTTAAGGGAACAGTCTTCTGTTCATAAGGGCGTGTAAGAAATCCTTTGAGAAATTGTCTTCAAAAGCAACCACTTAAAGCTTCTCATCTTAGCAACCTAGCTTCAAATTTGAATTTTTGAAGGTTGTTAATGTAATTTACAGGAGCGTAGCCAGAAAATTTTTAATGGGGGGGGGTCCCATTTTCGAAAATAAAAAATCGTTATTTTGTTTCCTTAAATCTATATTCATTCTTCATAAGTTTAAATATTCAATTCATTATTCATACATTAAATTTAATTTTTCGTGCTGATTTTGACATTTCTTTCATCACTTCCTCTACATTAACTGGTTCTTCTCTATAAATACTTAATAAAACAATTATCAGATTTTCGTAGGGGGGCCCGGGCCCCCTATGGCCCCCCCTGGCTACGCCCCTGATCACTTAATAACCTCAATTAATTCCCTAACCTCTAAAAGAGAATTTTAGCTAGTCTTCAATAAAATCACACCAATTTTCAAATTTTTCAAGCTTTTTAATCTCAATTGCCCTTCCACAATCCCAACATTCATAACAAGTCACCCAACAATCATTAATTAAAGCTTAATTTCATTAATTAATAATATAAATGTATCAATACTTTCACAAAACATTATTTGTACTTGTTAATGGATAATTGATAAATATTAAAAAGCAACAATCAATCAAACGATATAGATTGCTGACTAATTGAGTTTGATATCCGGTAATGAGTGGAAATAATTTTGTGTGAATGTGAGAAAATGAAAATTGTATTGTGAGTTAATTGGTTTTGTCGTTGCCGGTGATGATAAGTACACAGGAATTGAGTTGATTGTGGGCAAAAGGGGATTTTTCTTTGGAAAGCAGAATTGCAGAGCTATCTGGAACTAAGATTCTTAAATTAAAAAAAAAAAATGAATCGATGGTAAATCTTAGCTGTGTGTAGACTGTGATTCAGGTCTTGATGAGGATGACAAAGGAAGGATACATAGCAGATCACGAATGCAAATTACATGCAAGTACTGAAATTAGGGGTAGCAGAGGGCTCAATTTAGTTGACAAGCCAAAGACGTTATGATTGTATGACATCAGGCAACAATTTAATAAACATAGCAACTGCCTTATTTAATCATTTGGTTACTCATAATTCCATCCAGCATTTCATTTCAATAATATAATTTAAAAGCTGAAACCCAATAAGAAGAAAATTTCACAATTAAATATGAAACCCAGCAAAACTGCAAATATTTATACAATAATAATTTTTTCATGATTTATCGAGGTGATGCAATCGAGTTGTCAGAGCCTCAATAAGATGAAACAAATGAGCATATAAAATTGCTGAATCGTATGTCTCTATTAATCTCATTTGACACTGTTCAATGATATTTTCATTGAATCAATTTTAAATAATGTGAAAATATTAAAATAATAATGAAATTATTATCTAACGTGCAAAATTTATCGGAAGTGTAGAATAGCTTTTAAAGTCAGCAAAAATTCATTTAATGCGATTAAATGCTTTAATTTTATATTGTTATTCATAAATTGTTTAAGGTTCATTTGAGGTCAGGGAAGTCGGAACTATACAAAATTAAATTAATATTTCAAGGAAACTCAATTGGACGTCTTTGGCGTATCCATAAATCCGGAGTTATTTTTATCTATTTTAATCTTCCTCATATCAGGGAGCATAAAATTTCTTTTGATATCCTTCTGATTGAAGTTTATTGCTCTAAAAATTTTATTCCAAGGCTCAGTCAGTCTTCCCCGGATAAAAGCTATTTTTAAACATTTTATGGATGTCTTTCAGCTACAAATTGATTCCCAAAATTTAATATAAGATTCTGTTGAATTCAATTAATTTGCTGACATGCCATGCAGGTTATTTTAATGCTTAGTTGGATATCATTTTTGCAAATTAAGATGTCAAAGTATGCAGAGTCCAGTTTAGGAATTTTTCATTTAATCCTTCAGGCAATAACAGGAGAAAAGCAAGTTACAGGCAACGCAACTCTGGTCCCGACGTTTGTTGCAAAAATCATGTAGAATTGTGTAAGCTAATTTTTGACTTTTTCCAAGAAACTTTAATTGATTGTTTATTTTCTGAGTGTTCCTATCTCATAATATTTCCAAGAAGGCCATCAAAATGAAGGTCAGTTTTCACATCAGTTAAATGTAAAGTCAGAAGTAAGCATGAAAAAAGGTCAGACAAAAATTAAGAAGATGGAAATGAAAACAATTCTTGAGAAAAATCATCGGAAAATCATAAATGATGCAAAATTTTCTTATGTAAATACTTCTTCTGTTCAATTTATGTTGAAATTGAGTTTGATATTTTAATAAGATGTTGAGTTTGTATTTTCAAGTATGAAGCAAGGCAAATATTCTTTTGTAGTTCTGAGAATTAAGAGCTGAGGCTTTAAAAACAGTAATTTTGATATTAAAACAAGAGTATAGGCAGGATGCAGAGATAAGAAGGTTTTGGAGTTGAACCAATTGTATTGAATGTGGATTGTCCTTAATTAAGTATCCTTTACGTCAACAACATCAACTTTACATCAAACCAAACAAAGTTGCAAAATAACATTGAAGTTGAATACTAAATAAAGATTTAAAACAGCATGCATCTATCTCATCTCATAACAAACGTCATAAACAGAAGCATCTAGAAGGGGTCGTTCACTTATGACGTCCGAAAATAACGGTCATTTTTCAAAAGAGAACAATGGATTTCCAGGAATTTCTATTGTTCTTTTCTTGCTGACCCCCCCCCCCCCCTGGACGTCATAAGTGAACGGCCCCCAAAACAAATCCATATTAATACTTCATCTCCACCCGCACACTTGTTGACCTTTTTTTGAATGCAAAAATAAAATAAATTTCAATCATTCCTATTTTATAAATGCAACAAAAATGTAAGACTAATTAATTATAGTCATATATTGTATGTTCAAACTTTATATGCTAATTAAACTGACTTGTTTACAGTATTCACATTACATGATGAATTTTAAGTTGCATAATCAAAATGTATATTTGCTGTTAATAAGCAAATTGCATGCAAAAATAAAATCTGATTTTATGTTCTTAGAATCACATGGCTATGCATGCTTGAAACTTTTCATATCTCATAACGACTCGAGCCTTCACAAAATAGAATTTCTCATCTGAATTCATTCGTATTCATCAAGCTCGTGTAGGCATCATAATGAGCCAATTAGAGTAATTAATTCAAATTCTGTTTCTCAACAGTCTGATACCTTTGAAGTGCTAATTTTGTCAAAAAATCTGATTTTCTGGTGGTTAAGGACTTAAAACGTGCAGATGAATTCTTAATTGATTGACAATAATTTTTAATGGTGTTTTAAAGTTTGTCATCGGCACGTGGGCCAAATTAGAGGTTTATTTAGATTAACCGACTCAAGCCTTGCTTAACAAAGCAATAATAATGCTCATTGTATCATAAACCCATCAAATTGACATTCAAGATCAAAAATTTTTGACACGTTTTTCGATTCTTTTCTGTTTTGAAAACTTTTTCACTTAGCAGTTCTGAAGTGCCGAGATTTTCCTTTTACTCAGAAGTCTAATTTTATTTTCACCAAACTTCTTGACATCGAAAGCAAAATTTTGATATTATTATGGAATTTATTATTGGCAGAAGTATCATTGAGGAACACAGAATATTATCTCATAAGTAGCAATTATGTGACAAGTGAGCATATAATTGAATTCGGAAGAAAATAACAACTTGTTGACATTCTTTATATTGAGGCAAAAGAGCAGGAAACTTGGCAATTTGAGAGAAATTTTTTTAAGGCATTTATTAAGAAATTTAATTTGATTTTGGGGTATTTTGAAAAGCACTTAAAAGCTTTAAAGTAGCTAGATTGAAAATTCCAACAGATTCTAGCAAAAACCGGTCATTTTGCAGTTTTGATTTGTTGCAGTAGCTTTAAAAATATCTCATTCAACAATCAGTCAATACAGACTACCGCCATTCCAAAAAGACCGTTATTTTTTGAAAAATGGACAAAAAAAGTTGGTATGATTCAAAAAAAATGACCGTTTGAATTCAAAAACAAAATTACAGTTAAAATCATGGAAAACCAAATCAGATTATTTATTTAAACTTTGATGCAAACAGTTCCTTTCGATTTAAAAAAACGTTTCTGATGAGACAATTTCAATCTAAAATTAAAAAAATTCTTTAAAAAGTCTTCAAATATCAAAATGCAGTGATTAAAACTAGTTGAAATTTCTTTCACTGCTGCTTTAAAGGATGATTTAATTTGGGATGCGGATTGGTTTCTATCAACTGAATCACATTGTCTATAAATAAATTCAATTTTGTAGCAAAATGAAAGAAATATTGGAGAAGGTTTTAAAGGCATTCGAAATAATGCTTTTCCATCCTTTCGTTTGTCTTCACAATTAAAGACTGCGCACTTGCTCATTTTTGCATTTATTAATTACTTTTTTAAGTGATTTTATTGTTTAATATGTCTCAAGGAATTTATTTGTTTACATTATGCATAACGGAAAAAAAATATATGAACTATGTCGAAAACTTTGAAAGTAATTTCGAGGTTTTCGAAAATGGAATGGCGGTAGTCTGAGTCAATAAAACTCACAAGCAGAGTTGCGAAACAGGCCACCTGTGACAGGTGAGAACCCTTAAATTCCTTGATAATTTGTATGGTTTTGTTAGAAAAACCTTATAAATTATCAAGGAATTGTAGGGGAGTTTTCTCCCAACCTCCGAATGAGGAGGTTGTGGAATTGTGCAATACTTCAAAATTAATTAATTACGCGTAGGAATAAGTCACAAACCTACGGGAACTGTCTTCAAAGTAACAATGAACAAAGTTACCAAGGAGAAAACTCAGCAAAGTCGCGATTTAATTAAATTTTGGATATAAATTGAAATTGGAAAAAAATGTGCAAATTTTGCACATAATCTAGATAAAACTGAATTGATCATCATCGGAATACCAAAGAACATTTAATTACATTGACAAATCAAGATCGGTGGCAGTTGTGAGGAGAATCAACTGTTTCACGTGGGTTTTTTGTGTTTTACCAACAATCGTGGACAAGAAGGTTCTATCATAACCATAACCTAGACATATTGAATATTATTGGAATACAACGGATTATCGTCAATTGTGAGGAGAATTTGTCTCGCGATGGGTTTTGTGTGTTTCCCCATGTATCGCGGGCAAGTTCTATCAATCAATTGGTGCTGACTGGATTTCAACAAATCAACATTGACAAACAGGAATCGATCATCTCGGAATACAGCAGAACATATTAATTACATTGACAGATCACAATCGAGACATAACAAAAATTTGAATCTATTTGGAATATCACAAGTTGAATTACAAGAAGGACTGTCAAGGGATCTGGATCATCGACAACTGAAGATGGAATTTTTTGCCTAGCGATGGTTTTTTGTTGTTTTGACTTATCGCGGGCATGTTTTCTGTCAACCATTTGGAGTTGACTGGATTTTATTGATTGTTCTTTGTGTATATTTGTAAATTAAACTACCTGGAATTGTGAACGGTCTTTAAATAGCAATAAGCTGATGGACCATAATAAAGTTAATTAAGAAGAAGAAGAAGAAGAAGGAATTGTAGGGTTCTCACCTGTCACAGGTGCCTGTTTCGCAACTCTGCTCACAAGAATCGCCATTAAGACGTGAAACTGCACAACAAATGTTAACAACTTTGACGAATCCGGATATCTGATTATTTTATTATTCATCACACAAAAGATTTTTATGACAATATTTATCCTTAATTTATTTTTAACATTTAAAACGTATGCGATTTCCTGGTTTTGCTTTTGTTTTAATGTTCTTAAGAAGAGTTTCTAGAATTGTTGGCTAATCAAATAAAGATGAGATGATGTCAAGTTTTTTTTGCACTTATGGAATTGACTTAAGAGACAAAGAACTATGTGCTAAAAAGGTTGAGTTAAGAATTTTCTTGAATGAGAATATTAAAGGTTGGTTTTTGAGCTGGCATATGCAGAATAAAGTAATTTAAGAGTGAAGTATGAAGTCAACTCGAGATTTTCATCGATTTTGTATGGCGGAGTCTACTCCATACAAAATTTCATCGACTTCGAGCTCTGATTAGCACCAGTGACCTCGACTTAGGCTCCAGAAATCAAAACTGGCAAAATTAAGTCTTGAAAAAGTTTAAAGCTACTGTTAATGATTTCTAGTTACAAAAGAGCCCTATCTGAAGTATCCTAACCTTGTAGTCCTAAAAACCAGCCCAAAAACTACCTGCAGATACCTAAAAATCCAAAATCTATACATCATTCTAATCCAGAATAGAAACAAGCTCTAAATCCTTTGATCTTTGATTATTAAATTGAGGCTTCCTGATCTTATCTACACAATGATTCAGATCCCGTCATAGTAGATAATAATCCCCTAAAGCGCTACAAACCACAAAATTCTCGAAATGTTCGCTAATATTCTCAAATAAATAACAAAAACACTTCATTCACAATTATAAAACATTTAATCTACAAAATATATCCGCAAACACTTATCCATGTACATAATGCGTACATTATAAAAAGAAAACAGAAAAAGCACAAAAAAATTATTCCACTTTGCTGTTCGTTGAAGGACACAGCACAGCTGATTGATTTATGAAACAACAGAACTTTTTACATTAGCATATATTTTCAATGATTATTGCAATAACAGGAGCTGTTGTGGTTTTTATGTTTAGTTTAGATGCAAGATATATAGATAAGCTCATACAAAAATATCACTGTTTTTAACGGACAAAATTTTGAATTTTCTGTAAACATTAACACTATGATAGAAAATTTTCAATATTTGTTTTGCAAAATTTTCAACTTTCTGTTTTGTTTTGTTGGTACAGGAATATTGCAAATGCTTTACTATTAATTAAAGTAACTGACTAAAGTCGAATAGTTACGCATTTATCGGTATTTAAATGAAAAATTGAAAATTATAAATTTAAATTTTTTTTGTTTGTATTAGTATACAAAAAATAGTATGGTCGAGTATGGTCAAGTGTACTCTGTATGAGCTCATCTATATATCTTGTTTAGATGTAAAATGAAAAAGCAATTGTAGCTTAAGGATTTATGCAGATTTGATAAAAGTTTGAAGGATGTTGTTGATTATTTGGGACGGTAAAGCGCATTTTTGGAAGGAATTTCTGAATAATTCACGACTAGACTACACTTTTTTTTGGATTAACATTAAAGACCAACCTCGACTGTGACTAATGATTGACATTATATTTAAACTAACCCTTCAAGAACTTCATTTAGCACGTGGCAAAACAGACTATAGACGATAAAATATTCAAAACTAATCCAGCTAAACGACAGCTGAATATTTTACCAAGAACTCCACAGCCATTAAACAATTATCTATAAATATTGCAATCCTTAACCCTGGGAAAAGCTGCATAGTTTCCAGCAGTTTTTCATCGCATGTCCGAATAATCAATAATATGGTAATAACTTCATGAAAAAGCTTACCTTGGAGGACGTTGATGAACTTGACTTTTCTCCTTTACTCGAACTACTTGCGGCTTTCTCAATATCACAGCGATTTCCTAGCGTTGGACTTCCACGGACTGCACGCGCTTGAAGCAAAAATCGTCGCAACGAGAAGTCAGGAAATGTAAATGATGACCTATTCCTACGCATTTTTGAGTCTGATTTATTTTTCTTGTGGTTGTAAATTTTTGTTGTTGTTTGTTTTTTGGTTCACTAACTTAAAGTTAAAATTGTTTTAATATTTTGTCACTGACTGTTCTTTTAAAATGTCATGATTCTTGGATGGACACAAAAAAAATGCTTATTTTACATGACTGAATGTTCTTCTTCTGGGTCTTATGCACAGCAAAAGAATTCAAAACAGACGGAAAAAATTTTAAAAGCACAGCACAATTTTGTGATATTTAATTTCGATGAGGAAGCAATTCCGTTGAAAATTTCTGAATTTTTGATAATTTTTTTGTGTTGTTTGGCACAACGTCAAACAGCCAGTTCGTCTGAATAATTATGCTTGTTATGCCTCAAGGTTGTTGTTTTCTGTTTCGTTGATGTTAATGTTGATGGTTCACTGAAATATAGAAAGACAAGAGAAGATGAGATTTAGAATTTAATATTTAATGACGAGCACAGTTATGAATTTTGAGTTTAAGGCAGGGCTGGGATGTGTATTTTTAGGGTTTTTAATTTATGCAAAGTCTGAGTGAATTTCCAGTTGTACAATCAATTTTGAATATTCACAAGTTTGTTCGACATTTATATCCTCAAGGTCTATAACGAGTTTATTTAATGCTGGATTTTTAAATTTTAAAGAATTTTCAGAATTTCAAAATGCAAGCACAACAGACATAAAATGTTCTTGAATCTATTTACAATGTGTCTGCTTGCCTTACTTCAGTCTGTTTTGCACTTGTCACACGTCATAAACACAATATGAATGAATATGAGTGCTTTATGCCTGTTCAATAGTTTTTTACTGAAACTTTCTTGTTTGTGAGAATTTTAGAGAAACTTTTTGAATCAAAATGAAAGAATCTCTGTGAAAAAATCATTTTGATTGACTTGTTTCCAAGAATCAGGTTCCCATTTTCCTTAAAAAAAGCAAACACAGTTTTGCCTGCAAATCAACTCTGAACAATCCTAACCCAATGACTTCATAAAAAATATTTATTTACACTTTATGAGCACAACAAACAAAAAATTATACTTGCGGTACCTTCCTTAATCACCACACTATTTTTAAATCTTTAAGAAGTCAAGTAATTACCTCTCATCAAATTGTGTTTTAAGCAATCAAAAGAATTTTAAGAGTTTAAGCACAAAAAAAATTATGAATGGTAATGAAAAGTTTACTGTGAATTTTGTTTTGCTTTTGTTTCGTTTGGGATTTAATAATTGAGGGTTTGTTTTTGTTGAGTTTTTGGGTATTCCTTATATCTTGTTTGAGGCAGTTTGAAGATGCTTGGAAATTCTACAGGCTTATTGAAAAAGAGATGATTGGAGAGGAAACCTGAAAATTTCTTGAAGTGCTCAAAATTTCGTTCAAAAAGTTTGATAAAATTCTGAAATTTGATTTTTGTGGCTGAATAGATTCATGCTTACAGCTTTCTCAAAGAGCAAAAGCTCATCAAGGATAATAAAATACTTTCAATTTCATTTCTTTTAAAGGACTTTTAATCAGCTTTGTTGGCACCTCATCAGTTTCTCATGGTAATGTTATCATCACCAACAAATCTCCAGCCTTCATGTTTCAAAAATAGAAATTGAAAGTTCTTGTGGGTGTCTTTATAAAATGTTTAAAGCCATTAAGACTATTAATGTTGACATTTGTCTCAATGCTTCTCGCACAAACATCCTTTGTAAATATCCTCGAAGCACTCAAAATTATAAATCAACCTACAAACAAAAGCAATAAAATTTTAGGAAAACACGAACTATGGTTCATGTTCCTTACAATGTATTTGGAAAACGTGGGTAAGAAAGTTCTTATTCTTCAATCTAAATATTACTAATCTCGTCTGAAGGCTATGCTAGGAGAAAAATAAATTTCTATTAAGATCCATGAGACTTTAGAATTAATTTTGCTAAATTTATTATCTTAACCAGAAGCTGAACTGCCCATAGTTCGTTAATACAAAGTTGCCGACATGCCCATTTATGACTTGATCTCGTAAATTAAGCAGTTGAAGTATATAACCTTCTGAAAAAGAACAAATTTGAAATTGTCTGGATTCGAATCAACGACCTTCGAGTTACCATACCAAATTTGAGTCAAGCGTCTTACCTATTCGACCAGCAAGACACTTAAATGCTTCCGAGATGTTAATCCAAGAACGGCTCTTAATAGGGGCGTAGCGAGGGGGGGCCATAGGGGGCCCGGGCCCCCCCTACGAAAATCTGATAGTTGTTTTATTAAGTATTTATAGAGAAGAACCAGTTGATGTAGAGGAAGTGATGAAAGAAATGTCAAAATCAGCTCGAATAATCAAATTTAATGTATGAATAATGAATTAAATATTTAAACTTATGAAGAATGAATATAGATTTAAGGATACAAAATAACCGTTTTTTTAATTTTCGAAAACGGGCCCTCCCCTTAAAAATTTTCTGGCTACGCCCCTGGCTCTTAAGGTTCCAAAGGATCTTCGATTTTCCAGGCAATACAGATTTAAGTTTAAATTGATTCAGTAATCGTTCTATTAATTTTTTCTTGCCTATTTTGTAGAAGTTTGTCCCCATTTTACTTTCCCCAACTCGACATAACAAAATTTACCATCACCATCAATAAGCAGCTCCAAAAACTAATTCTCTTCCACACAATTTCACTTTAATTAACGTATATAGTCATTTAATCTCATGCTAGAAAAGCCACATACATGATAACGGTAGCTACAGAGTAATAAAAAGCAATAAACCACAACAATAAAAGTTCAGTTCCTTATCATTCAGCAAGCTTCCTCACAAAAAAAAAATCCCGAATCATTTTCATGACATTAAAAAAACCGCAATAATCCAAAAATGTATATTTTCAGTAGCTGATTATACCTTTGAGATAATTTTTCAAGATGCCACAAAAAGGAGAGTCTTCTTACGCAAACTTTTGAGGTTATTAGCAGGAGAATTACACAGGCATATACGTAAAAGATCTAAGGGGGCATTCATAAGTGATCGGTATCGTCAAATGAGATTATTTGAACTGCAATTTCCATCTAATAAGCTTATAATAAAGCTGTAGTCATTACCTGGAACATCAGACATCATTAATCAAAAACCCCATAAATGAATCGCAGCTTAATTCCTTTGGAAGTTAATCGCTCGTGACTGTAAAAATTACTTTAAGTAAAGAATAATCTCAAGTTGTTGCAAGATTGAAAGAAACTTTTTTCGACCTTCCTTAAATTTAATTTCTGATCCTTCTTCTAGCAATCTTTATGGACTTACAAATGTTTCAGGATTTACGAAGCAACATTCATCTACGACTGTACCAAAATACTTGGAAGGATCTTATGGAAATTTAATTTGTCAGCAACTTGCTTCTTTAAATTCAGCTTGAATGGTCTGAATTTATTATAAATGACACAAGATGAAGGAAACTTAATTAAAAGTCAGCATGCTGAGCTTCAGTTCTTGAAAGTTTGTTCAAGTTTTATTTATTTATAAAGTGAAGGATTTAAACCGATTTACAGTTCCTTCCTAGAATTATCAAGAGATTGGACACGAGCAAGCAAAGTTTTTTGAAAAGGATTGAAAAAATGACCGGAAAATTTATATCAAGCATAAAGTGTGCAGAAAGCTCACAACCTTCAACTTTTCTCCAGCATTCTTCCTTTGATCTATCTAGCGTAGCATCAAGTACACTTTAAAATAAACACATCACCCTCATCGTCACTGATTGTTTGTAAACACGACGTCTTCTTCTTCCTCTCCATTCTGCCTCGTGATTATGGTGATGTCACTTCTGCCTGTCTCATTTCACAGACGTTGATATCTTTTTTTATTCGATGTTATTGTTCTAATTACTTGTTATGGCTGTATACTTTATGTTTACATACTTAATTGATGAATCTTTAATGGCTTTAATTTGAATTTTAATTAAATTTAATTAATTGTAGAAAAAAAAGTAGAAAGGAAAGAAAGCTGAATTAATCATTCACAGTTGTTTGACTTTTACTTATTTTGTGATTAATTTTTTGTTTTGAATATTGATTTTGTATAGTCAGCGCTTTGTAAACATTTTGTATTTTTTTTTAAAATAAGCTTCTTCAAACCATGACCTAGGTGCGTGTAAATAAAGTTGTTGAACTTTTTGGAGTGGGTTTATTTGTTTTATAATTTCAATAATTTTTTAAATTTTCAATATTTTAGATATTTTCAATTTTTCAAATGTAAACTTGCAATTATCAGCTTAGTAAAATATCTAAAATAAACCTTACTTCCTTCCCTCATATAGGGGTTGTTCACTTACGACGTCCGAAATTAACGGTAAAAAACAATTTTCAGGAATTTCTTTTGTTTTTTTCTTGCTGCCCCCCCCCCCCCCCCCCCACTGGACGTCATAAGTGAACGACCCCATATCTTCTTCTGTATATTTACAGTGGGGGAAATAATTATAAACGAGTTGGTATTTTCAAAATTCTCGAAAATATAAACAGTTTCAAAAAATATGTTCTATGTAAAAGTTGTGCAGTTTTGAATGAGAAATAAAACGGTAAAAAAATTTTTTAATTATATTAACCAGGAAAAAAATAACGGTCATTTTTTGAAAAATATGCCTTTCGCAAGAGGAAATAATTATAAACGAATTTGAAAAAAATTTAAAAAATTGATTTTAAACTTGAAATTCACACGAGTTTTTAATTGATTAAGATATTTTAAGATTGTATGGATCTTATTTGACATAATATGCACAATAATTAATGGTTTAAATATATAAAATTTTGTCATAAAATTGGCAAGGACTGATATGGAAAAAATCAATGTTTTATGGCAATTTAGCGATAATAACGCCTCAATTGCATACGAAAATGATAGATTTTATCACAATTAATAGAAAACAACAAAGAATTTGTAAAAATATAGCCAGAATAAGTAAAAAAGATGAAAAATTTGAATGACTCAGCGAATACAATATGAGAAATTTTTAAAATTTTCTC